TGTGTTTTATTTTCTTCGTATAGCCAAACCTTGGACAGAGGCTGTGAAAAATAGACCCAAGTCAATGCTGTTCCAATATTCATTAAACTAATTATTACATTCTCTGACAGAGGTGAACAGGGGTGTTGAAAGCCAATGCACTTCTAATTTTTACTTATTTGCTGCCAATTTATCATTTAAAATTGGACAGGTTTGGCAAACCCTTGAAAGATTATTGATGAGCAGTCGAACATGGCCGAGGGAGAGACTATGTTGGTCAAATGCAAATGCAGGAGCTGTGCTGAAACTTTAAATCTCCCACCTGCAGTGCGACACATTAAGAAAAGGCTTGTCACATAAAGCAAGCTACATACAATCACAATAAGCGCCCCTCAAGGATCCCAAAAGATAGCAGACTGTGTGTTACAGCTATGTTTTGTTTGATGGTGTGTGTCATTTAGATAAGCTTTGTGCCTCTTATGTATTGTACATTAAAGTCAAAGTTTCTATTTCTAAAAAACATTTAAATAGCTGGTAAACTTTTATAGACATTTTAGAAGAATTACTGCTGTTCTGAAGACATTTTCAGAAACTTTAGAGAGTCTTCTAACCATCTGGAAAAACATGTATCCCACCCTCAGCACCATAAAAAGATGTCTTATTTTGTATCCCGAGTTGCAATTATGATTCCTAATTAAACAGAGATAGTAGCCAGAATGTCTGCTAAATGTGTATATCATGAAACAAAATTACAGATTTATATTGCTATGTTGATGTGTCTTATAGATTAACATTATGGTTGTATTGAGTAAAGACTCATGACATGTACGAAATATTAGGAAAAGTAGTTTCAAATTGAAATGCAAATTGGGTTGAAGATCTTTTTATGGTGCAACAGATAACATATTTGTTTTCCATCCAGATGGTCACAGAGTCTTCGAGGATTCTGGAGACACATTCAGAACAGCGTTGTTAAACAACCATCTGGGTTTTTCAAAGACCGTTGGGTAGGTTTTTATCTCGTGAAATCGTATTCTTAGCTCTGTCTCTAATGTAATGAACAGCACCCACTTGGGTTAGGTGCACCTCTAACTACACAAATCACTGTTTCCATTCTGCCAAAATACACAGAGCGGCACAAGGGAGTGGCCATATTTAGCCATGGTTTAGTACTGGCATGGACCATCTACGGTCTGAGATGATAACACACACGGTGGAAGTATGTTGCACTGGTTCAGCTTACATATCAAATACACACACTCAATAAAAGCAGAACAATTTGAAGCATTTGTTGTCACTCCAGCTGTTTGCCACTGAAATCCCAACATGTAACATGCATTGAAAGAATAATTAAGCTTTAACAGGCATTTTCCTATTAAATTAAAGTGTCAATCTTGAGACATCTTGACAGTAATGCTACACTGCCCATGACTCATAGGTAGTCATTTCTTTTTCTGTATCCTAGGGCTGTCATAACCTCATAAATAATAAGATCTGGTTCTGCATTATTTGTTGTGATAACCATTTGCTATGTGTTGGCTACCGAGTGCACAATGCTCTCATTGCTGAAGGTAAATTAATCATGAGGGCATACTGTTTGCTCACTCTGTCTCAGAGCATGACTGTATCCATCATTTTCATGGGTTGTATGAACTACAGCTTTTTTCAGGTTTGTAATGGACTTTTGATTTATATCGATTTTTATTACTTGATGATTTACATTGTTTGGAAAGACTGCATGAAGTAGCTTTTAGCACTTTGTAATATAAAGTACATGACGGCGGATGTACCGCTCGTCACTAATTTGGTTGTTAGACAGGAAACAATGAGACAATAATGTAGAAGTGGCTCATTTACTAGCTTGTTGAAAACATAGGAAATGTTTGGAGCTGCGTTCAACACAATTCATTATTTCTTACAATTCTGAATGTTCGTCAGTTATGGTCATCAGTTCAGGATGTTGTCAAAGCTATTATGGTTAGATAATAAATAAACATTGTATTGCTTTGTGGAGCAGAAGGCTATGGTGACTTTCTTTGCTTGATCGAGTCCCATATGGGCTCAGATTTAGCTCTTTGACTGCCATGAATAAAATATCATATAGAACTGCCTATATGGAAACCACTTCTGAGTATGGATATATATAGCATATTATGTCCCCATTCATATTAATAGGCACATTCATAAAATGCAGCAACTCATTTTAATTAAGATGAAAGTCTCATATCTACAGTCTCAGCTCTGCCGCCGTCTCATTGTTTCTCACACTCGCAAGTTCTTTGTAGGGGAAGATTCAGACGGTGTGTGGGGGCCCTGATCTTAGGAAACCTATTTCCATCAGCCACATGATATACTGTCTCTCTCTCACTCTCTAACCGTCTTAATCAAGAAATCAAGATATGACAGAGAAATTAAACCTGCTTCTTAGTGGATAAACGGAGTGCTTTTTTACATAGACAAAGCTAAACATTATTATTGGTTTACAATTTGACAGTAGCTGAACATCCGAACTGCTCCACATTGCATGTTACAATCACTTTGTAATTTAACGACATAACTCAGGCAGGATAGATTTTCCCCAACATTTTTTGAATGTTAGCCTTGGATGTAGGTTTGTAGCATGAAGAAATGTACCCATGCACCTTGGATGGAAGGTTAAAAATGGTAAGTAGTGAGAGACTGTATGCAGGTGTGGCAAATTCAAGACGCAGCTGTGTGTCTGACTGTGTATATAGGTCTACAGCTGTTGAACTGTATGATTAAGGCAATATCAAATCCCCCCCACTACACACACAGGCTACTATGTGTGATTAAACTGATGATATGGGCTGGATTTGCGTTGAAGTTATTCTGATTGTCTTGTAATAGGAAAATGGAGGCGTTTTTACATTTAACTGCAAAAATAATGGAAATATTGTCACTCAAGTCACTCATAAATGTTAATATGTCTGAGCTCAGTGTCTGGATTCCTCATAGAGGGATGCAACGGCACTGTTTTAGCAGAAATCTCCCTCTTTCTGTGCTGTATAGTGGTGAGAAACAATTTCCACTAGCTGCTGCATATTGATTTGATTTGAGTACTGATGAATGAATGAGGCAGCTATGCGTTACAGTCCTGTGCTCACAATGACGCTGTCTGATGGTAGCACTGTCACCCTACAAAACGTCAGAAAGGTAATTTCCTAGGATGACTCTGTATTTACTGGTTTTCATGTCGAGGCATGTTCAGGAAATTAACATGTGGTAGAGGCGAGTGAGGCATTCAACGTGAGAGATCAAGAGCACTTTGACCATTTACATTTCTAATGTATCACGTGAAACTATGGGGGGCATATCCTTTCAGATCCATTCCGAAATACTCATATTTAGGCTACTTGATCGCTATGAGGAGAAAAATGTCGCTCATTCAGTAATGATACTTAGCCACTGATGCCTGAGGACAGACACCGTGAAAACGGGCGTAAAAATCCCTATTGAACGCTATATTTACGAATTATTGATTCTACATCGAAAGCGTTGCATATTAAATTTGACTTCGACCCAAATGAACGTTGAGTAATAGGGTGGTGCTGCTGCCAAAAAGCAGAAACGGGTCTCCAAAGGGGGTTGGTGAATTGTGTTGACAAGGATATAGAAATAAATAATTAAGCACCCATTCACGTCTATCTGAACGCAGTCGGCTGATCCTATAGCCTATGTACACTCCACACCGTACCGATGCACCGAACACTGCACAGTAGCCTCCCTGATTTCTCTCCACAGTTTGCCGGAGAAGAGTTCTAGCTATCGCGGCTACCTGTTAATCCCCGGCCCGGGTGCAGCCCCACTTCCTCCGGCTGGCGCTCCATTGCTCGGCTTGATGAGCTGTCCAGAGTCCGGTGGTGCTGAAATGGAAGCCGGAGCCCCTGCTGCAGGCACGGCGGGGCCGGGCTGTCCCGCCTGTCCCTCCCCTTCCATACTGGCCTCGTTCCCCATCGCCTCGGGATAGGTCTCGACGGAGAGAAACGATGTTGTAGACGGTTCTACAGCTGTGGTGGAAACTCAGATGAAACTCAGCGCTGCTCCCCTTCCGCCATCATCACCTACAATTCAGCATCCCGCACGGAGCACGCGCACTGACGGAGAGAGCGAGGGAGCGCGCTGACGCAATGGGTGGGAACTTGAGAGGCTCGTACGTGCGCGTTCACGACGCTCGGTTATCTCAAGTCACCACGCAAATACATCTGAGCCGCTCTATGGCACATGACTGGAGAGACCACTGGGACCTCCCCGATTTAATCCGGGTCTTTCCCTCATATGGACCATTTGTTTTGTAACCTAAGCGACAGAAACATCATACATCGTTACTACGTGTTTTGAAATGGGATAATCCTTTATCTCGTTTGCATATATTTAGCATTTTCTGTAAAGAAAAAGGTCCACAGCGTACATTATTTGGACACAGGCTACTGATCTTTTTTTTTTTTAAATCGATAAATTTAATCGATAAGTCAACTGACAGACAATGAATAAACAACTATTTTGATAATCAATTACAAATAATCGTTTGTCATTTAAGCAAAAAGGCCAATAGGCTGAACCATGGAAATGTAAGGCCTATTGCTGGTTTTCTTAATCTTATACGATACCAAACTAAATACTACTTAAATGCAAAACATTATTCCAAAAACACTTAGAATACTACAATATTTACATCAAAATACACATGTACATTACAGCCATGGTGCCAAATGACAAGACCTTTGCAGAAAAAGTCAATTTTATTGTGAAAGGCTCTTTACAGCGTAATGATGGTCACTGAATGACTGCTCTCCCTAGTGTACACCAACTGTCACTACAATCAAACATTTTACTCTGGTTTAATAAAGCTAGTCTAGCTAACCTCCTAGATAAACTTAGTAATATCTTTGTACAGTGACACGTTGTACTATTAGGTGGAATCCTACAATACATTCACTCCAAATATACAATTATTTTCAACCATTGTAGTCGTATCACGTCAAAAAAAGAAATCTGGATTATAGCAAGATATTTTCATTGACTTTATTGTAGTATGAACTCGCAAGCACAAAGAACAACTGACCTCAGTGTACAGGTGAGCCAATTAACAGATACATATGTACAAAAACACACAAGTGCACACATTCAACTTCTATTCACTCACTTTGAGTTCCCATTTCTGGTACAAAAATAACAATAGCTTCTTTTTCATTCACAGGACCTCTAGACACAGCTAGAAAGCCTCAGTTTAAAGGACATTCCGATGAAAAGAATAAACCTTAATGCATCATGACGTCTTCTTCAGTTTAAAAATTGTCCATGAAACAAGTGATATAAAATATGCTTTTTATGTTGTATAGTAAATTACCAACAGTGAGGATATTATAACTGAAATGCTAGGGATGGATAAAACATGGCCTTTTTCTTTCAAAACATTCAGTACTTTATTGGCACCATAAAGAAATCTAGTATGGCATAAAGTTTAGGAAATATCGTCTTATTTTTACCAAATTGTAGTTACATAAGAAGTTGTGCGGATTTTAGGACTTTGGAGATCATCTTCCAATAACAATGAATACTTTGATGGATAAAAAAAGCATTCAGATACACCATTGGGAACATGCCTTTTATCATATTTACAAGTGTCAAAAGCAGTGGCACAAGAAGAAGAACATTTGCATTGAGATTAAAATGGTAGTACATACAGTATATACATAAATTATAAAATAACTGACCTTGGTAACATGGTCGATTTGATGAAGAAGATGAGGGTCTGGCTAAAATACAACACTAGACGGCCTTTATGAGAGTTTCAGGAGTGCAACAATTTCATTTTCTCTGGGGTGATTGCTCACAGAGTTACTTTCTTATAGAAGTTATGATTGTTTGTAGTTATTGGCGCTTGGCTTTGTACGGTCGGGAGCGTTTCCTGCGATCAGGCTTCCTCTGTTTGTGCAAGCGGCCAATACTCACTCCCTGCCGTCGACGCACAGAAATGTTTTGCTCCACAAGGCTGGCCAACATGCCTGAAGAAGATACCCAGTCAGAATGAATGAGCCAAGAAATGATAAAAATGCAAACACAACAACAGATTGTAGCATTTAACTAAGGTTTGCATATGTATGGTGGTTAAACATGTGATGTATTTGTAGTCTTCTCTATTTTCTATTTGGAAGGGACATGTACCTGTGTGTTGTAACATCAATGTTTTCCTTTTAAGCAGAACAACACATATACATGTCTTTGTATTTGTAAATGTGTCCCTGTATGTATTTCAGGTGGATAAATGCATTTTAACACTCAGAACCCTAAAGTTGCAATAGACGTCTTTTTTCTTTAACTTATTATTATGAAGTGCATGTTGATTGGACAATGTGGCAATAGATAGCACCACCATTTGCATTTAGATTGGTTCACTGTAAGCCTCACTTTCACACTTAAATGATGTCTCACAACGGTAACAAAGCCTTGTGGCAAAACAACATGGAAAACAGCTCTTTTACAGTAAAGATAGCTATTAATAGCACCGGAATTTGCTCAAATTCGCCAGATGACGTTGTACATTCATTAGCATATCAGCACTGTCCCCTGCGCTAACAGTAATTGTTGTGAAGCGTATGTGGCAGGACAGGTTTTTGTTTTTTTCAAATTTGATGTTCTGTTCAGTTTCATACCTTTGATCCACTGCTTACACTCCACTGAACATTACTAGCCATTTAAATGTGCCATTCATCAGCATTAACAGGAAGGTTAGACTTCCAGTGGACAGTTTTGTACTGTTCGTTTTGTAAAATACGGCTAATGATGCATGCAGTTTCCCGAAAGGTTGTTTATGTCTCCAGTGAATTCCTGTGTTACATTTTCCCACTATAACAAGGAGAGTTGTTAGTTTAGATTAGTTTCCCAGTTGTTAGCTTGTGTGTTGTAGCCAAGCTGTAAGCAGCTAACGCTGAGAAAGAGTGAAGAAAATAAGAATAATGAGACTTACCTTCTTGGGCCAGCATTGATATAAAGGTGCAGATGAACTCATCGTAATTATGGGTCCTCCTTTGATCATCAATCTGATCAATGAAAACAAAACATTTGAATTAAAAGCCAATTAAAATAACATCTCACCAAATACCGAATATATTGGATTTGTTTCAGGTAATCAAAACCTACTTTGTATTTCTTTCTCTTTTCTACTTCCTCCTTTAGATACACCTCATAATTGGCAATGTCAGCCTCCACACACTTGAGCAGTGCAAGCAACTCCTGCAAGAGACAGAATAAGATAAACTACAATGTTTGTTTGTTGAATATTTCCAGTATACCGCCTTAGAAACAGCTGCCTAATTGGCAGTAGAAGCAAATATGTGAGAGTGTGCAAGGTACATACTACAGTGCATCATAACAGTACAGGACTTACTTTAGGAGAGTACTTATCCCCAGGGGGCTTGCTGTCTGCAGCCATTTCCGCAGCGTTGAGCTTCTCCTTGCTAGGCTTTACATCTGCTCCATCTTTGCTCCCCTCTTCCTTCACCACCACAGACGACCCCTCATCTCCTTCCTTGTCTCCTGCGGAGAGCTCTGCTTTTACTTTGTCTTTTATCTTCTCAGGGGTGCAAGGCCGCTTTGTTCCATCAGAAGCCAGATCTGCTGGACAGACAGCAATTCAAGTCAAGTAAGCGGACTATTTCTGAATAAAAGTAAGGTATGTTATACCGATAGAAAGTGATAATGTATCGATTTTGTGCCTAATTTTTATTGATAATAAACAGTTGATCAAAGCAATACATTTCTCATTGTGTGAGGAGAAAGTAGAGTTTGCAGCTTCACACTTTTTAGTTGCATTCAGAGTCAGCATTTGACGAGACAGTGACATAGTTGAATGCAAAGACGAACGGCAAGCTATTTCATCATGTTTTTCTTTGTATTCCTCAAAAACCTATGAGCCGTTACATTTGGTTGTCTCTCATCGATTTGTAGCAGGTAGCATCCCAGAATATGAGTTCAGAGGAGGAAATGATCAACGATGTTTAGCTGCCTAAGATTTTCAATGTTTTTCATTTGAGACCGAGTATAAATGGCGGTAGAAATAAAGTGGAGCGTTACAGAAGCTGCTTGACAATAGCTGTGCGAGAGGACAAGGCTGACAGGGAAGCTCATGGCATCTGAATCTCGAGGACAATGCATCCTGGTACATGGAGGCAGTACCAGCTGCTCCTCGAGCTGGAGAACTCAGCTTCCTCTGTCAAAACTCACTGAGTAATGAACTGCTTCAATTGACAACATTACCCATTAACTCTGACTGGACATCCACAAAATAAATGGCACATTCTCCCTTTAAGGTCACCCCAAACTGTTAACTTCTATTGTCTTAAATGATTAATATGCTCCAACTGTACCATAAATATCAAGTGATAGACTAAAACGCTGACTTCAGCAGAGGCTGTTAGAGCACCTTTGTAAATAACACAGGCGACAGTAACGACCTCTTGTACTCACCAGATGGAGGGAGAGCGAAGATGACTCCGTCCTCCTGCAGCTGTAGCAGAGCAGCGCTGACAGAGGGACCCAGCTCTCTCACAGCGCGGTTGTGTCTGGAGTCTAGCCTCAGCATCTCATCTTCTCCGAACAGCACACGAGACAGATGGGATGCGACTGGACTTGATGGGCGCGTGGCAGCCTGGGAGCGAGCGGGTGAGCGCAGCGGGGAGTTGAAGGCGCTGCCAATCTCAGAGGCCGTGTCAGTGCTTTCGTTGCTGGGTGTGGGGGACGGCTGTGAAGCAGATGTGATGCAAATGCCCCCCGTGCGCCCTTCTGTGCGGACAGACAGGGGTGTGTTAAGGGCATCCTTCCTTTGGACCTCCTTCTTCAGTTTCTCAGCTAATACAGTGAGGGCAATCTGGCTCTCCATCCCAGTGACTACCCGTACTGGTCGTGATCGCAGACTTGCCTTCCGTCTAAACCTAAAAGACAGCAGATTTAAAGGGGACCTATTATGCAAAATCCACTTTTTCATGTCTTGTATACATAAACATGTGTCCCCTCTGTGTGAAGAGATTCTGAAAGTTTCAGGAAAAAAGATTCGCTCACTTTTTGTCCTGATCCATTTATATAAAAACCTGTCTGAAAATGAGCTGATCAGATTTTGGCCACTTTATGATGTCATAACGTTTTTGTTGGCTTGTGTAACCATTAGCCAATCAACAACCAAGGTAACACCCCCCCCCACCTTATCACCTGAATCTCGTCCTAGAGCACCATTGTGTTTTTTTTAACCAAATATCTCTCAGAGGAGCGTGGGGAGTGGCTCCTTATTTTCATCTAAAGTAACAGACACAGAATCAGCACTTTTGAAACAGGGCTGAAACAGAGGGGATTATGGGATGCTACAATGCATGATCTGTTTGGTATTTTGAGCCAAACACTTCAGAGACATGTTTTGTATATATCTGGGACCTATAATATATTGAGGGAAAACAGTATAACAGGGGACCTTTAAAACGAAAAGCAGAAACATTTATTTAAAGAAATGTTGCTTCTTTCGGTGGGGTCATAACCACAAACAAAGAAAGCAATTGTACCTATGTACACATTAGAATGCTAACCTGGTTGTGCCTGCAGAACCAGTTACTTCCTCCTCTTCATCCGCATCGTCGTCTTCATCGTCTGTGTAAGGGGGTTTGGGGGGAACTGCCACTCGAGAGCGACCAACTACAGCAGCAAGATCCTCTTCTTCCTGTTGATTTGAACATTCTCATTAAAGCTCAAAATGATTCAAAATGTGAGCTGCAACAACAGAAATGTAGAAGATATGACAATCTGATACAGAGGATTTGAGTTCAAAGTATAGCAGTTTGCATGATCTGAAAACGCCCCATGACTGAAGACCCAATTAGCACCTAGTTTGTGCACACTGGGACAGGGTTGCACTCTGAACCTCGTTGTATTTTTTGTACAATGACAATAAAAGGCTTTAACTTAACTTTTGACTTGAATGAGCAAGAGAGAGTGATTGAGCCTCAGAAAGCTGGATAGGGAGAATCATTCTTTATTTATACAGAAGTGAGAGAAACAACACACACAGTGACTGTCCCTAGGTCAGATCTGAGAGACAGAAAGAAATGTGTGATGTCCGGAGCTGCTAGGAGCGTGGAGTAGTCATCTTCTCACATAACAATGTAACACCTGCCTGTTACAGCGAGCGCAGATAGGGTGTCATATGCTGTGAAGATGAAAGCCTCGATACATTCAATTGAGTTGTCTTGACAAGACTAGAAAGATCACAGGAGGAGTGTGGCTCAGTGGGTTAGTGCACTGGTCTTCAGATCAAGGGGGTTACTGGTTCAATCCCCATGTCGTTGTGTGCTTGGGAAAGACACTTCACCCCAAATTGCTCCTGTAGGGATTGCCCACTGTATTAAGTGCATGTACGTCGCTTTGGGTAAAAGCGCCTAACAAGTGACATGTAATGTAATCAAATGCATTTACATAAAATATTTAAATCATGTATTTGTCTTTAGAAATGATACAAGGCAATGTGAAATACATATTTCTAAAAAAAACTGCTGTCAGTCCAGCACTCAACAAGAGCTAAAATATTTAGTAAATTGGGGAAATCAAAAGATAAATAATCAGCAACTATTCCAAAATCAAATTAATTTCGAAGCTAAAACCTAATGAATACTCTGGGGACTTATGATGAACATTTTTCTCCCCTATTTTCCGGATCTTGTGAAGCAGCAATAATGAGAAAGATAATTGGTGTTATAACTGATGATGAAAATAATCATTAGTTGCAGCTCTGAACGCCACCCTAAGTGCACATTACGACCAAAGCGTCTGAAAAAGATCTTTAGAGGCCTATATTGGTGGAGAAAGTGATCAACACCTGTTACAAATCTGCTCAAAGATTGTTGGTTAACCCTGTCAGAGACCTTATGACTCAGCCTATCATAACAACCTAATAAGGCTGTCCAACAACATCATCTCGGACCCAAACCATGTTCTGAACAGCGAATATGAACTGCTAAAGTACCTTCTAATCGGAGATACAGGGTCCCGCGATACAATAAAGTCAGCCTGAAGCATCCTTTGTGCATCAGTCAATCCTCACAGTAAATACAGAGCAAATGCACGCTAAAGGGTCTTTGAGCATGTTTTCTCTCAGTGATTGTGCTGTTATGTTAAATGTTTGTCGTTTGTTTTTCATGTATTGTGTCTTGATATTTGTCCATGTTGATGTTACACATGGAGCTGCTGTGATGCAAGTCAAATGTCAGACTTTCTCTGACCATTAAAGTATTATCGTATCGTATCGTATACGACCAAAATACCTTCCGAGCCAGCACCCTAATGCTGTTCCCGTCCTCTCACCTGCATTGGAGACTTGGCATAGTTGTGGTTGTCCAGGAAGGCCGGCAGCCGCTGAGCGACGGGGTTGGGACTGGTGACCCCTCCTCCTGAGGGAGCTGCAGGTTTACCCATGACCTTAGCGTTTCTTGAAGGGTTAGCAGCATCTTTAGACCGAGCTCCGGACTCATCAACTGAATCTAAAATGAGGGTAATTGTATTTCAGTTGAATGTTTATAATGAGCCCCTACACCATTTACAAGATGTGTTTTAACAAATACTCGGGGAATAAAGCGGATATAAGTACCCGGATCAGCCCCCTGGGATGTTACTGGCTCTGCATCTGACTCTTTCTTGATCGCAGCGGTGCCATCGTCCTCCTGCTGCTTCTTGTCTTGTGCAAGATCGGGCTGATTGAGCCGGATCATCTGAAGACAACATACAAAATACATTTTAAACATATTCAACAAGGTCAGTAGACATGACAGAGGAGCTCCTGCTAGCCCAAATACCGCCTTTACAGAATATCACTTGGACAAAGACAAAGAATATTAGGAACATTAAATTAGGACTTTAAAACAAGTGTCAAATATGACATGCTACAGCAGAGGTTATAACAATACATCCAAGTTTATTCATTTTAGCCTCTGATGAGACTTGCAGCAGTCCCTGACCTTCTGCAGACCCTCCAGAACAGTCTGTCGATTCCTCTTAAGAATTTCAAGTTTGGACTCGTACTTCATCCTGCGGTCAGGCACCACTGCCATCAGGTTGAAGCGAATGTCATGGTACGGCTCACTGAGAAAGAGCAGAGCAGCAGCATGAGAATGAAGCCCTGGAGGTGTGTGTAGAAGGTGAATAATCACTGCTCGGGCTAACTGGCTCTGGACTCACCCGGCAGTGGCCAGTCCAATCCTCTCCATGATGACCCGCCGAGCTTTATCGGTCCATTCCTCCTCCTCTCCCCAGGGCCCTACAATAGAGAGAAATATTATACTAACTTTAGGAAGCAAAATCCCAAACACTAAATGTATTAACACATTTTATAGCAGATTTGTCATAACGCTGTTTTATCCAGTGAGGAATTAGACCTTATTTATGGATACTGACATGGTTTAAATGATGATAAAACATAACAAATAAAAATAAGTGAAGTAAATACTTTAAAAAGGAGAAGAAATCGGAAAAATTATTCTAGGAAATTCTGTTTAAACCATATGCATACCTTTTAATACAAGATTCAGTGGTTCCACTGCAGCTAAACTGCTTTAAATCAGTGTGAAAAGAACAAGACTTCTGTATTTCTGTCAGTGTTTGCTCTCACCGTGATCAATGGGGTAAGCTTTTAGTCCATCGAGCTCAAAGAGGCGGTCTTTGATGGGCACATAGCTAACGAAGTGGAAGGCCTCCATGGTCCGCACTGCACTGATCCCATTCTGTTTCTCCGGTAAGTGCCTGGGCTCCGGTCTCCATAGAAACACAGAAAGAGAGCTTAAGAAACTGACACATCTTTCACAGTATGGTAGACCAATCACAGACCATTTTTCTCTCTCACAGAATCAGCGACTGACTTCTGTACAGCTGAATATTTCAAAAGGAACCTCTGACTGAGACCTGACCTACCTGGCATGGCTGTTATGTGCTCTGGCAAGCTCTGGGGCATTTCCAATTGCGTAGCCTTTACTCTGCAAAAAGAAATACAAATACAAAGTTAAACATGACAGTAGGAGAGGAGGAAGAAGAGGTGGAGAGAGCAAAAGTTGAAAAACGGTCATGCCAATCAAGACATTTGAAATTGAGAAAGAAGGAATATTTTAACAAGAGAGTGATTTAAATTGTTGAGAGATTCAGAAACTAAACTAAATGTATTTAACAAGCTATTTTTGGTCATAGACTTTACTCTGTTCCTATAATACTGTATATTAAGTTGTCGTTTGTCAACTTTTAGGAATAACAGTAAAATCCAAAACAAATCTGAGAGCTGATTTTCAAATGAAAACTCTAAATATAAAGCACCACATGAAATGACACTTAAAATAACAGAGATAGTGGGTGTTTCTCAATCGCGAGTACGCTTGCTTGGTAGCACATGTCTGCCGAGCATCTTGCTTCAGAAGCGAGTCAAGAATACTTCCTGACATTCGGAAAACGAAGTGTGGAACACGCTAGCAAGTGTGCAGGTGTGCGTCATATGAGAGGCCCCGCCTTACATCTTCCGCCACAGATTTGGGGAAATTGGTCCGTGCGCAAAGCATTGTGGGGATTTTAAGACCGCGAAGTCTACTCATGTGCAGACTCGATATTTCTCCAAACGGAGTACGCCGGGCTCGGTAGATTTCCAAGTATGCTGGAGATTGGAACAGTACTTCGGCGGCACTCGATGACGTAGTATGCTTGAAATAGTGGCTCTGAAGCAGCTTTACTCGCGATTGAGAAACACCCACTGTGTATGAGTGAGCGTGAGAAACATCTTACCTCTGGACTAAAGCCTTTGGTGAAAGCCTTCATGCGACTAATGGTGGTGCCGAGCTCAACGCCACTGCAGTTCAGAAGCACACTCAACAAAGCGTGGGTGGCACATGAGTTTGGTATCAGCTAGACAAAAAAAGACAAGAATAAACAGGAGTCAAATCAAGAATATGCATGTAATTAACAATGAGACAGGGCATTACTACAATCAATTCCTCCTGGAAGAAGGAACATATCTTATGATGTCTTAGCAGTACTTTGGATGTTTGGATCCCACTGTGCAATCATTACATTTGATTTACTTATTAAATGTTATACATTACAATTGTCTCCACATTTGTCCCAACTCACAAAGAACCACAATTAACCGGCTAAAACAATTGAAGAAAAATCTTCATACAATTTATTAAAATAATACTTGCATTTACTTAAAGGTGGGGTAGGTACGTTTGAGAAACCGGCTCGAGATACACTTTTTGTTATATTCCATGGAATGCTCTTAACATCCCGATAGCAATGAATATCTTAAGTGCTTTGACAAAAAATACATAAAAATATGTCATCTGTGGAAGCCGTAGTACTGTAAAAAGTACGACCAATCATTTTAGCCGGCCCGGCTAAAATAACTGGATAGCCAACCTGCCTGTCAGCCTTCCATCTCGTGCCCTCATTGGTCATGTGCGCGTTCGTGTGTGTTGGAGGAGGGGCTCTGTAAGGAAGTGGCAGATTTTTTCCGGTTGTGTATTTTCAAATTCTAGCGCACTCGAGCTGGTTTCTCCAAAATTACCTACCCCACCTTTAATTGGCAGAACTAATACTGAAGATGTTAGGACTTCAAATACAGGCCAGTGGCTCACTAATAAGAAGACTTCATATACCAGGAAAAACAACATTAACTACCAACATGTATGATCACAGAAACACTTACCTGGTGAGCAAAGAACATATCATTTACAATGTCCTCGTCAATGACAGAGGTCTCATCCACCAAAGTGTTAACTTTCCTCCTGGATCGACGTTCCTCGATCCACTTGAACAAGAAGATGAAGCCATAGACAGGACTGCAAGAAATACAAAACTTTTCACATGGTGTTGCTACAGTCAGAAAATAGACGCTGTTTAAATCAAGACATGAAACTTGGAATAGCCACATAACTACATGTCAGATTTTTATATTTGTGTCTCTCTTTCTGTGGACAGTTTTTGTCAATCATTGCTCTTCACCAAACCTATTTGAATAGAACGGATTGGAAACAGAAAACATACCTTGGACACTTGCTTTGCAGATCATAGATTTCCTCTACTTGGACACCCTTGACCCCTGAAAAACACAAACAACCACACAAAGGGAAACCTTTTAATTGGATTTAATAGCCCCTTGAATGGAACTAGTTCTTGTAAACATGACTATTCACATGAAAGCGAGATAAGATATTCGGCTACTGTAAATGAGCTACTCACCAAAATCTTCAACCAGCAAAGTGAAGAGTCCTGAAATCAAAAAAACATTGTATTGTTTATTTTAGAATTTAAAAAATGTAAAGTATTTTTTTTTATGCATTTTCTTTGACTATCCGTCTTACATAAAACATATAGGTAATCTTGTAGTCTTAGTCTAAGCTAAGGCACTTTCCTCCTTTTTCTGTGTTTAATAGACATTTCTAAAGACACTGGGTAACAAGCCCTAAAATGTGAATCTCCATCCGATTGGAACAACCTGCCCAGTTCAATAACTCTAGATCCATTATCTTCTTTTATCTTGTTGTGGATTTGTCTTACTTATCTTCAAAACAATATATATATTCATATAATGAATATGGCTTCGTTCATGACAGTGCACATTTACTGTATGTATTGAGGCTTTTGTCTGCGTATGTGCACTTAAGATAAGATAAGATGGACTTTTATTAATCCCCGTGGGGAAATTCAGTAGTTTAACAGCAACAGGGTAAGATTGAAAAACAGGACAGCACAGATTCACACAGATTAATAAAATTAAGGTTAAAATAAAAAATGGTAAATAACTATAAAATAAGAAATGAATTAAAATGAACATATACATATTTAGTCATGTGTATATATATGATATACTGTATTATCTGGATATTAATGTTAAGGATCCCTTTGTAAACCAAAATGGCTCATCACATCCTTCATATAGCAAGTTAAACATTTCTAATAATAAGTCGAAAATAATTTGGATTCAGTCACATAGAATAACCCCCAAAAACGAATAAAAGGTCAAGTTTAATATGTTTGCTCATAACGTTAACTTACTCCTCATATTTCTCCTTTGGAAAGTCAATAAAGTGAATCAACATGCACAATACACAAACATATTTTATTGTACTATGTTTTAAGCTTGTAATGCATGTAAGTTGTTCTCTAATGTTAATAAGTGAAGCTGTTGAAGAAGCTGAAGTGTCCCTCTGGTTTTGTGTTGAAGCTAACGACAGCTAGCTGTGTTTCGAGCTGTCTCACCTGGATCACTCTCCAGCTCCAGCCAGCCTTTGTTCATCTTCCTCTTTGTGCACAGCAGACTATTATTTACGATGTTTTCCAGTCCATGTCCGAGAGAGGGGTAATAATAACCTTAAACGATAATCCGGTATCCATTCACGAGACAACTGTGGAGCTCAAGATAAACACAATAGACAGAATTGGCCGTTTACAATCTACGTCATCAAGAAACGACGGGAGTCACACACAACACAGCCCCCCTGCAACTTCCTGTAGTCAGAACTACAAAACTGATAACATCAGAACATTATTTTTAACAATGAATGGTGTACACAAATATTAAAAGTAGGTTAAACGACGAGATATATTTTTAGTTATTCATCAAATCACGACTTAGTGTCGGGGATTGGTGTCAGGGCATACATAATAACAAAGAAACACGCTGTTTTCTCATTTATATTAGAAAATAGTAAAAAAAAAAAAAAAAACATATGAACCAACACAAGAGGTTTACAAAATCAGGTTATTTTGTAAAAAGAAATGTTTTCAGATGTTCAAACTGGTTTCAAATGTTTTGTGTTTTAAAGATACAGTTTGTGCTGTTTTTTTTAATGTAATATAAGAAAGTATTCTATCAATGTAAAATGTGGCTAAAATAGTGAGACAGTTAGTCAAATGTTTTGCAATGATGGATCATTTAGGAATGTTAAATATTAATAGCACACCGTGTTCTTCATCGGGCTTTTTAACTCCCGGAACCTTAGTTGGAGCTACCTCTACGGGAACAGTACTGTTGGTTACACTGGAACAAATTGGAAATTAGCAACGTTTATCAGTTGATTTCATTTAAATAGGTTCTGTGGGAATAAATCGGTCTGTGGTTGTATGCACAGCGAGGTTTCTGGAGGAGCGCAGCGCAGCCGCATGCACGGTAAGATCCTCAGCGGACCGATGTTTGTGTTCAGCTGGCGCTTCCTACCTAGCCGACAGGGAAAGCCTTGTTGTATTTCAGGCTAGCATTAGCACCGCTACCGTTATCCCTACACAATACGATTGTTATCTTTCTAAGACAGCCCACAAAACAGTCGTTTTTGCAAGGAAAGCTGTTTTTTTTTCCCTGCCCAAGTTACAACCAGCCTCCCTGTTTTGCTGCCACTGTTATTGGTGAACAATGAACTGTTCACCAATAACGTGTTTATTAGCGTTTGAATTCGCCTTTATTGTTATGCAATTAGCTAGCATATTGTTGTGCCCACTGTGTCTGAGTATCAATAATATTTATATGCATTGGGTTAGTTAGCTCATCACGCCAATCCACGATAGATGCTTGGAGTATATGTCAATTCACAATCAACATGATACAATGGATATGCTGCAGAGGTAGCTTGATGCTAGCTGCATTCATCCTCAGCTCAAAACCCTTTGGGTGAAATATTTTCTATGGGTCACTTAAACATTGCACGTTATTCATAAGATCACCCACAGATGAATACGCAATTACATTACATTACATTACATTACATTACATTACATGTCACTTGTTAGTCGCTTTTATCCAAAGCGACTTACATACTCAATACTGTGGGCAATCCCCACAGGAGCAATTTGGGGTGAAGTGTCTTGCCCAGGGACACAACGACATGCTGACTGCAGTGGGGTTTGACCCCTGATCCGAACACCAACGGACAACCCCACTGCACCACACGCCTCCCAATTATTCCTGTACTGTGGATTCAGATGTCTGACATTCAGTGTTTGACATATGCTAATGTAAACATACTATATGAGGACAGTAGGAGCCTTATTAAAGTAGCCTTATTTTTAAATACCACACAAGGGATTTACTTTAATACATGTGAACATTTTTATGATGTATTTTGCTGACGGATATTATGTCTCACCATGTCTATCCATCTATGATATTTAGTCTCAATTCCTTATGACCTACTCCTAGAGAAAATAAGTGTTTTATTACAAGTATTTGTGCTTGACTGTTTTTTTTTTAACACTGTCTTTATGTATCTTGCTTGATTACAAGTTCAGATGGAATACATACTGTACATGCATATCATCCGTGTACATATTTATTTCATATGTACTATACTTTGTTTTACTCCATATATACAAATGTGTTATGTTTATTTTTGGCTTTGTTTTTATTTCATCATGAACTGGCAATAGTAACTGACATTTATAGTAACTGATATTTCACTCTGCCACATTTGTATGACTCTATGGTGCTTTCCTTCCCGTTTACAAACAATAAGTAAGCTAGTGTTTACCATAAAGCATACATTGCATATCTGACCATTTCTAAATATTGGGACCTTTTTTATAGTCTTGTTGCTAAAGAATTATTGTTAATCGATTAGTGGATTGACTGAAATTATCATTGGCAAATTGAATTGTTGATTGACAATGAAACTACATGAATCCCTACGTTATGATGAGATGTTTTTTTTCTTTTTCTTAGGGCACCTAATGAAGGTGTGCAAGTAATATTTTGAGAGCCTAGTAAGACACCATGTCTGAAGAGGCAGTTTCAGAAAGTGACCTGGAGCCCAGCCTTAACAGTGAATTGGAGTATTTGGACAATGAGGAAGAGGAGGACAATGAAGACCTGGAGGACGATGAGGATGACAATGATGGAGACGATGAAGATGATGATGGTGTCGGTGAGTGACCATAAAACATTTGAAAAGCGGCAATGCTAGTCTATCACACAATGACGTTTAAAGTGTGTATATGTTGTCAAGATATTGTTGTCATAGAAAACCAATACAACGAGCAGAGAGAAAACTTTTTGGATAAAACGATTTCACCCCTCTTTTCTGCCAAAGAAAAACCCTGTATAAACACACAACCTAATGCATTCACATACAGGAAAGAAAATACACTTGTGCTTGTTGTTAGTCTTTGAAGACATCGACTGAAATACTGTCTATTTTCTGTCTCTAGAACGGCCTGGGAGTGCACAGAGCAGGACGGAAGCCACTCAGGATGGCAGGGACTCCCCTTCAGCTACCTCCGGAGAGCCGTCCCCCGAGGCTCCGTCCCAGCCCGCGTCCCCAACCTCCCCCAGACCCTCCTCCAGACCTGCCTCTAGCTCTCCGCCTCTGACAGGCCCAGAAAACCCAAGCAAGAGCAAGCCAGCTTCCAGCAAAACAAAGAAACATAAATCCTCAAAATCATCCAAATCTTCTAAGTCCTCAAAAGGCTCCAAACTTTCCAAGCTATCGAAGCCCGTACACATGAGGAAGAATATCAGGTACGTTGGTCTGTTGGGGTTTTTCCCTCGGGTATATTACATTATGTAGCTATTTATACTGAAAATGTTCCTTATGCTAACAGAAAGATGCTGAATGAGGATCAGTTGGAGGCTGGGACCAAGGCTGCCCAACAGGAGGAGATGGACCGGCGGAAACGTCTGGAGCAGCAGAGAAAGGACTTCCCTACAGCAGCTGTCCCAGAAGCTCAGCTAGGTGACTATCCCTCTTTAGTGAAGCTACACATTCTCAGATTTAAGTTTTGTGTTTTCTATCCTGAAGTTTCCTATTATCTTCTGATCTTTCCAATAGTGGACGCTGCTTCAATTGTAGGCGAAGTATCTCACTTGGTCCCCGCTCTGCTCAGCCAGCAGGATGTGATCTGTCTGGACAGCAGTGGTGATGAGGAGGACATAAAGGACCCCATGCTGCCTGCACTTGACATTAGAGATGGTAAAATATATGATACTTCTGTCAAACAATGATGTTTATTTTCTCAGAGTAAATCATGACAAAGAGAATTGAGCATGCTCTCACACAGTGTTCACCTCTCCTTTGATGATGTAGATATAATCGAGCTTAGTTCTGGCGATGAAGACGCCCTGCAGATAAGCAGCGAGTCGGCCGATGAGGATGCTGATGGCACCTCAGAGGAAAGCAGCGGGGCGCACATCAATGACGTTATGAATCTGCCTGATGCCCAGGGTCAAGTGCTGGTAAACATCAGTCACCCTGCAGAGGAGAAAGACATTTACCTCGCTCCACAGCTGGCCAAGGCGGTCAAACCTCACCAGGTATGCCCACCATCTCGTCGTTTCTCAAACTCTCAAATCAATAACGGCCAGTAAGGCAAGGCAAGGCAAGTTCATTTATATAGCACCTTTGAACACAAGGCAATTCAAAGTGCTTTACAAAAAATGAAAGACATTAACAGCATTAAAAAAATAGTGCAGCAGAAACATATTATAAAATGGCATTTAAAAACACTCATTTAAAAGCAAAGATAATAAAACATGAATAACACGGGTACATGAATAAAAGTTACAGTGCAGTGTGAGATATGAATATATCAATTAAAAGCAGCGGCAAAAAGAAAAGTCTTCAGCCTGGATTTAAAAGTAGTCAGAGTTGCAGCGGACCTGCAGGTTACTGAGAGTTTGTTCCAGATATTTGGAGCATAATAACTGAATGCTGCTTCTCCATGTTTAGTTCTGACTCTGGGGACAGAAAGCAGTCCCTTCCCAGAAGACCTGAGGGTTCTGGATGGTTAATAATTTAGCAGTAGGTCAGAAATGTATTTTGGGCCTAAACCATTCAAAGCTTTATAACCCAGCAGCAGTATTTTGAAATCAATTCTTTGACAGACAGGAAGCCAGTGTAAGGACTTCAGAACAGGAGTGATGTGATCCACTTTCTTAGTGTTAGTCAGGACTCGAGCAGTGGCGTTCTCAATGAGCTGCAGCTTTCTGGATTAGGGGTTTCTAGTAACAGAAACCCCTAATCCAGACTGTTTTCTCTCAAACATTTGTCTTCTCCTTTTTAAGGTTGGGGGAATCCGGTTTCTCTATGACAACCTCATTGAGTCTCTGGAGCGGTATAAAACGAGCAGTGGCTTTGGCTGCATCCTCGCTCACAGCATGGGGCTGGGCAAGACACTGCAGGTCATTTCCTTCACTGACATCCTACTGAGGAATACTGAGGCTCACACTGTGCTGTGCATTGTTCCTGTGAGTAATCAAAGTGTATAATGTCGATAATACTGTTGATCACACATTCACATTTCCTGAACTCACTATGTTATTATGATTTAAAATAACCTCTAAGCCATCTTTTTTTCCTTGGTAAAAGGTGAACACACTTCAGAACTGGCTGACAGAGTTTAACCTCTGGCTCCCACCACAAGAAGCTCTTTACCCGGACACTGACCCTGCAGTCATCACAGGCCGCACCTTCAGAGTTCACATTCTCAACGATGAGCACAAGTATGTAGCATGCAATGTTCTTTGTAAGGTTAAGCATTAATTGTCAAACATTGGAGATATTAATCATGCTAACTGTGTTACCTGCAGAACCACGATGGCCCGAGCCAAAGTTGTGGAGGACTGGTCTAGAGAGGGAGGGGTGTTGCTGATGGGTTATGAGATGTACCGCCTGCTATCTATGAAGAAGAGTTTTGTGACGGGTAAGAAGAGGAAATCAAAGAAGCCAGCAGGACCAATCATCATCGACCTGGATGAAGAAGATAGACAGCAGGAACTCATGAAAGGTCAGCAGAAATCATTGGATAAAGGGAAGCAGTGGCCCGAACAAAGTTGTCTGTGTATGCCATTAAAAACCCTGTCTTTTCAGGTATTGAAAGGGCCATAGCGCGGCCTGGCCCAGACGTGGTCATATGTGACGAGGGTCATCGAATTAAAAACTACCATGCCAGCACATCACAGGCCCTGAAGAACATCCGCTCCCGGCGCAGAGTAGTCCTGACTGGTTACCCATTGCAGAACAACCTCACTGAATACTGGTGCATGGTGGACTTTGTTAGGCCCGACTTTTTGGGAACACGTCAGGAGTTCAGCAACATGTTTGAGCGGCCCATTCTTAACGGGCAGTGCATGGACAGCACACCTCAAGATGTACGCTTGATGCGCTACCGCAGCCACGTGCTGCACAGCCTGCTAGAGGGTTTTGTCCAGAGGTAAGAAATGTAACCTTATTTATACAAAAGCATAGTGGCCTGTTTGATGCTCACCTGTTAATGTTCTCCTGTGGCGCTTTTCTTGGTTACAGACGAGGTCATGATGTGCTGCGAGACCAGCTGCCCTCCAAGGAGGAGCATGTGATGTTGGTGCGGCTCTCTCCCATTCAGAGGGCGCTGTATAACGAGTTCATGAAACGCTTCCGAGAAGCAGGGAACAGTGGCTGGCTCGGCCTGAACCCCCTCAAAGCCTTCTGTGTGTGCTGCAAGGTGAGACTGTTATCCTCGCTGTTAGGTAGAAACCTCTGCTTGGAAGAGCCAGCCCAATGAGGGACAATGTTCAAAAAAAGTCTTTACACTTAAAATGTTATACCTTGAATTGTCTTCTATATCCATAAATACACTAAATTGCCAATCCAGTTCCTCGTGAACGCCATATCTCAGTGATTCCTTGAGGAAATGTCTTCAAATTCTGCAGAACCACCAATTGAACTCAAGGATGAACTGATTCGATTTTGGTTGTCAAAGGTCAAGGTCACTATGGCCTTACATTTTGCATAGGAATACATGAGAAAGTATAACATTTTAGACAGACATCGACGTAAACTAACTTGCTTGGTTGTCATACAAACACGGTGGTAATGGTTCATCAAGTAAGCCTTCCTCTTTTTCTTGGATCCCTCCAGATCTGGAATCACCCAGACGTCCTCTATGAAGCCCTGCAGAAGGAGAATCAGGCCAACGAGCAGGACCTGGACCTGGACGACATCACTTCAGCGAGTAACGCCCGCTGCAATGCATCCGGTGCTGGCCTCAAAGGCAAAGTAGCCGACTCAAGCAACAGCAAAGTCAACAACGCCCTGCCACTAGTCAATCACTCTCAGGAAAGAGCCAACCAAGTCATCACATATGAATGGGTATGTCATGGCAGACCATGTAAAGATTAGCTAAATGATTACTGCGGCTAAAAGATTCCTCTTGTTTTGACATCTCTGTTTGAAAGCTCAAGCACATAGAAAACTGTTGCAATATATGACTTGTGCTGATATGTCTGCTGTGTTGTATTCTTTGTTGGCTTTTCATCCCTCCAACCCTGAAATCTCTTTTAATTTAACAGCCTTTTCCCCCCCATATTGTATGTGTCAGGCAAAGGGCATAATGTCAAACTACTGCACAGGACTTCTGGAGAATTCTGCCAAGATGACGCTGCTCTTCCATTTGATTGAGGAGAGCGTACAAAAGAGAGACAAGATCTTAGTCTTCAGGTAAGACCAGCGTACATAGCGTTACACACAAATCCAGCAGTAAGCAGCTTAGAGGAGAGGTTGACTGTCTTTTCATTTCAGCTCCTTAATCAGACTTATTTGTAACTTTCAGAGCTTTATGCTAACTGTAAGAAATTCATCTTTGAATCCTCATACGTCTTATACCATTTTCTGTTATTTTTCTTGTAACAGAAATGTCACAGTTAAACCAAATTGTTAAACGAAAAGTTGTTTTGTAGCCATATGTGCATGCAGCAATTCTGTGTCATTAAAAACATCTGACTGACTGATTAATTGTTATTTCATGACTTTAACTTATTTCATAATACAGTGCCCTTTATTTTCTTACCACCTGTGTGTTTTTGCTTTGTACTCTAGTCAAAGTTTGTCCACCCTGACGGTCATTGAGGAGTTCTTAGCAAAGAGACCCATGCCAGCAGGCGTCACCCCCCCTGACACCCAGAGGCAAACCTGGGTTCGCAACCTCAATTACTACAGTGAGTCATCCAATCCCTGCCCTCTCTCCTCTCTCTCTTCCAAACCAGCGACCCTGCAGGAGTGTGGTCATCACCACTGAAGATTCAAATGCAAACTGGCTGCAATTCCTCAAATTCACCCATTTCACAGTTTTTCTAGGCATACTGTGCTCTGGAAACAAGTTTAGGATTAATATGTTTGCAATTTTACATAACTGTTTGGAATTTGTCTTTTTTTGTATGTACTTTAATTCCCAAGGGATAGTGGTAAATTCCCTTTTTTTGTTTTAATATTTTGCCAAGCTGAATCAGTACCTCTCTAATAGGAATACAATATAAAAGATAATTCAAAGTCTCCCAGCTTTATGTTAAGTTTTCAATGAAAAAAATCCCATGATACACTGCAAGTGAAAGTGTGCTCGGGTGCTTTAGTGCTGAGAGATGATGTGTGTCTGTCTACAGGACTGGATGGGAGTACATCTGCCTCAGAAAGAGAGCGCCTTATAAATCAATTCAATGACCCAGAGAACACCGCAGCATGGGTCTTCCTACTTTCTACAAGGTATATGTCCCTGCTTTCTATTTTCTAAAGATGTTTTACCTTTCCTTTGTGCACTGGCAGAAATGTTCAATCAATCATTTGGTGTGTTCCTTGCAGGGCGGGATGCTTGGGGGTAAATCTGATCGGGGCCAACCGTGTCGTTGTGTTTGATGCCTCCTGGAACCCGTGTCACGATGCTCAGGCGGTGTGTCGGGTGTACCGCTACGGTCAGAGGAAACCTTGCTTCATTTACCGCCTCGTCTGTGATTTCACCTTGGAGAAAAAGATCTATGACAGACAAGTCTCCAAACAGGGCATGTCCGGTAAGAGAGCTTCACACATGTGAATCATTTGTTTGTTAGAAATTGGGTTTAATTATCATTTTCACAAATGCACAGGGTCCGGCTCATGCGGAAGGGGAATAAAATAGTAAGCTGAAAACACAGAACAACTATAAATGCCAGCTATAACATGTTAGAGTGCAGTCAATAAGATGTACATTGTTCAAATGGACATAGGAAAGCTTCACTTTTACCTATTGGTATTTTATTTGAAGGCTTCATTTCACTAGTAACTATTAAACAAATATTGATATTTATTGTGTTATTGTCCCTTATGCAAGCACTATTAAGACATACTCAAGCAGATCTGATGTGTGCCGTATTTAACATCTACATAAATATGATCAAGTCTTAAGAAGCTGTTTTTCTGCGTTTGTTTAAAGACCGTGTGGTTGACGACCTGAACCCAGTGCTGAACTTCACCCGTAAGGAAGTGGAGTCGCTGCTGCATTTTGTGGAAGAAGAACCTGATCAAAGTCCTCGGCACATGGGGGATGAGTTTGAAGCTGTGATGCAAAACGCTTGTCAGCTTTACCCACACCTCATTTCCAAGGTACAGCTGCATGATGGTCTTACCTTTGAGTCCAAACTCTGCAAGAAAGGCAGTTTTTTAGGTTTGGTGTTTAAATTAAGGTATGAGAGAACTGAGCTCAAACTCACTCAAGTATTGGCCTTGCGTGGGACTTTTTTGTATATGTTGACTTTATGCCCAGTGGTCTTGGGCTGCACAGTACAACAACATGTTATGTAGAATCAGATCTGACAGATGATCGGTACTTGAATTTCCCTATTTCCATGTATCTCCTTAGCAACCTTTTCATCACGAATCTCTGCTGGTGGACCGGAAAGAGTCGAAACTGACCAAAGCAGAGAAGAGAGCCGCCAAGAAGAGCTATGAGGATGAGAAACGAGCCTCGGTGCCCTACTCTCGCCCCTCATACGCCCCTTATTACCCAACGAGTGATCAGACACTCACAAACATACCAGCATTTACTCAACGCGGCTGGTGAGTTTTGGATAATTGTTCATTTACATTTTCCTCCACCAAAATATATGAGTCTGAGCAGTTGCATCCACCTCAAATCTGAAAATGAGTGTCTGCCATCCTTACTGGCAAAAACACGACCAAAAATAAAACCACCATTACATTTATATGTTTGAGGTTGTAACTCTTTGTGAGTTCATCGTCTTTCTCTAATGAATTTCCATTAGACAGGACACAATTGTTTGTGAGCATCTCATGAATTCAGCCCTCATATTTTCAGGCGGGCCATGGTGCGGCCGGATGACAAGCCTGTGGCAAGTGTTAGACCCATCCAGTCAACCCCAATTCCCATGATGCCCCGCCAGGCCGGCATGGGCATGTCTGGCTCCAGCTCTGTGGGCAGCCTGCCTGTCAACTTCCTGCAGAAAGCTGGAGTTTATGTGCAGAGGATTACCACCACAACTGGTATGTATAATCTCAGTTAATGATTCAATCGTACAACAACTCCCAAATGTTACACCCTTTTAGTATTTAAAGATGAAAAAACATTAATTATGTTTTGTGACTGTAGACTTTGTGACTAATGTAGGCCATTTTGTCCAAATCTACAGATATTGTAATCCCAGGATCCAACAGCACAACAGACGTTCAAGCTAGAATTTCTGCAGGAGAGAGCATCCATGTGATCAGAGGATCAAAAGGTAGTTGCAACAAAGAACACATTTTCTCCTTTATAAAAAATTATTTTGAGTGATTTACTCCATCTCTTGATATTTTCTAAAACACAGGTACCTACATTAGGACAAATGATGGAAGGATTTTTGCTATTCGATCTGGAAAAATCACTAGGCAAGCTGTTGGGGGCTCTGCTGCCTCAAGAGGTACAAACACATATTTATTATTCTTGGTTCTCACACAATGTGAAATTGTCATGAGAAACACTATACAACCAGAGTTGTATACTGTCTTCTGTGGCTCTATACATGGCCTTATACAAATCAATTAAAAGGTAGCTGCCTATTTGTTCTTGTTACTATCAGCAGATGGATGTGTTAGTAGTTGAGCTTTTAAATTATGCTAAAAAAAGTCACTTTCCATCATTGTTTGCTTTAACTCCACAAACAGACCATGCAAACAGAGCAAATGTTTACATTTAAAGTATGACAAATAAGACATTTTAGAGGGGAAAAAAATAAAAGGAATCACAGTTGATACTTGTTCCCATGATTTGGCTATTAGTTTCTTTTTGTGCAAATAAATATATAATTGGGCTACACCATCTTATTTCCAGGACCCTGTAGGACACGGTACATCTATCCTGACATTTAATGGCTGCATTGCTCTCTCTCCCCCCCCCCCCCCCCCCCCCCCCACAGACATCCAGGGCTCCCATATCCATGCGCTCAGTAACGGCTGTTTGTCGCCTGCGGATCATCAGCAGGGCTCCCCCAGCGAGGATGGGCGGCCGTCCTCTCCCTTGAGCTCGGAGATCCTCCGAGAGCTCAGCCGCTACACTTCATCCACAGGAGATGCCAACGCCGGCAGTGGGAATGAGTTGCCGTCAGAAATGTTGGCATTACCAGCGGGTGATGAAGGAAGTTCGCAATACAACCAGAGCGGTGATCTGAGCAGGCAACTCGGTGAGGACCTCTTGAGCTCCGCTTTAGAGATGCGTGGCAGCAAGCGCAGAAGCACTGAGAGCCAGGGCAACACACCGATAGGAGGCAAACGCTCTTCTTCTGCTGCATCACGTTACCCCGGACTGTCCATGGGCTCCAGTGGGCTCAGTTTCCCCCCCGGTGGTCTGAACTCCTCCTCCCTGCTGGGGAACATGGGTCACATGAGTCACCCTCTTCTAATGGGTGGTAGTGGAGGGTCTTCATTCCTTCAGACTCCAGGACAAACCCTGGCTGACCTACAGACCATGTTCACCTCTGCAGGCTCGGACCTACTGAGACAGCCGTCCACAGGGAACGGACACCTCCCCACCCCCTCCTCCTCGTCCTCCTCTATGTCTCCCGTCTACTCCTCTGCTTCGGCCACCATCCCTATGTCATCTACACCCTCTGCAGCGACTTCCTCCTCCCTGGCTTCAGGTTCTCTGCCTCCCTACCTGATGAATCCCAACATGGCCGACCTGCTCTCTTCAGGCTTCCCCCTCAACTACAGTCAGTCGCTGCTCTCTGAGTCCAGGATGTTCTCCAGCCCTCTCCTTTCAGGGGGATTTCAAACGCCCAACTCCAGCTCTAACACATCCAGTTTCCTCTCCCATTTCAACAACCCAACTTCCAGCCTTTTGGGGGCAGCTCTCACCCAACCGGACATACATCAGAGTACGGAGAACGGCGGCAGTAGTTCTGATGACGATGTTATTGAGGTGACAGGACAGTAGAGACTTAAGAAGCCCTGCAGATGCAGTTTCACACATAAAACAGTTTAATCAATCACGGCTAACACAAAATACATTAGGAGTGGGAATTATTACATGTTTAATAAATGAACTAGATTGACTCTGTTAACGGGCCGTCTCCACAGCAGCGTTACAGTATCTACCCGATTTGTATGAACTGATGATTGATAGACAGGCGTATTGGCATACTCTGAATATGTAATTACATCATAAAGAAGACAGAAAGGGAAATTCCACAATGATGACTTAACTGGTCATCTAGATTTTAAATGCACAAATAAATACAACTTTTCAGGAACTAAAAAGAGAATTGTTAATCCAAAACAACAACTTAGAATTTGGAAAAGCTTGTGATAAGTTAAATGTGTTTCAAGCCCTTTAAATCAGTTTTACATAATCACCAGTGAAGTGAACTGTAATACCATTCCTAATGTTCTCATGAAGCTACACACACACACACACACACACACACACAGATTCTCACCTGCAAGGAGAACTTGTACCTCGATGACTTTTCGAAGTCAGAGTAACAAATCCTTATGCTGAATATCTGGGACTTGTTCAGCTGAAGCATCAGAGCAGTGGGATCAGAACTTTGTAGTTCGGGGACCAGCTGAATCTTTCCGGGGCTTTCTAGCCTCGCCTGCTACACTTTAAAGCGAGGCCTCGTCTTTCCTTTATTTTTATTTCCCCTGAGTTCAGAAGAAGTCATGTGATGAAAACAGATTCATGTCTGATTGCCTCATGATATATTGCTGTGAAACAGTCTAGTACAAACCAAAATTTGACTTACTGTTCCACATGTCAGCAGTACTCACCTGCTGAACACGTATAATAACACAATACTTTTCTTTCAGCACAGTTTCCTTTCTAGTAAACAATACTAGAAAGTAAAAAAGTACAAATAACTCACAATGGCCACAGAACGTGGGCTTAATGTTTTTAAAAATCCTACTAAGCTTACCTTTAACTCAGAAATCTTAGGCTCTCTGAGAATACTTTACTCTTTAGCAATTTGATAGGCGTTGTAGCATCCTCTGTTGAAAGGATATTATGTGTGATACTATAACTGAATATGTTGATACTTTGTATATAGCAGTCATTATCATTGTTTATATTGCAAGTCAATAATGTGCAGTGTGTAGATTTTGGTTGTAGGGAGAGGTTTTATTATTACAATCATGCTGATAAACATGCTCTTCCATTTATGCTGAGGAAACACATTTACGTTCTACTTTATAATTTACCTTTTTTACCCCCTTAAAACTAAAATGAATGTATTTACTGTTAGCCTTTGATAACGCAGGGGCTTGGAACATGGATTCGGACTGTGTTCTTTCATATTTAGCCTTAAATAACACAAAGGGGTCTTGAGTCTTAGCATTTTTTAGAATCTTAGTGCATTCTTTTACAAATCTGTTAGAGATACTGAGTATTTAGACCGTTGGTGTCAAACAAAAAATAAATAAAAGTGTTGGGCAGATTCAGGATTGTGATATAGAGAAGTGTGAAAGCCAAAAGGAACACAAAAGGAGTTCAATGTTGCTTACTCAGTCGCCTCTTTTGTTGCAGTTTTTACAGATCAGTTAGCCTTGACTATACATGTAGATTCGACCCCTTTTTTCACCCCCTTGCTAAAAAACAAACGCAACCTAAACCGTAGAACACATTGCATTCATGCAGCCTGAGTCAATGTCCATCAAAAGGGGTATCAAACATTTCACTACGACCACCTCTGACTGGCAGAACCAGGTCCGGTGTTATGGTGGCCTTACCAAAATGACGCTGTCATAACGTGGTAGCTTTTTACAGAGGTGCGTCTTTTAAAGCAGTGCTGTGTAAGTAGCTTCTGTCAGTCGTGTCAGTCAGTGTAGGTCAGCGGTGCTTTAGGGGGTTTAGGTCTTTGCTGTTCTCTGTAGCCTTGTGTTTCTGTGTTGTGAAGACACCTCCAAGGTATGTCGATTTAGACAAGTCTTTCTCCTCTGTTGGTAAAATAGGCCAGATGCAGTGGTTGTTAGCATTTTATAGAAAAACTGGATAACCTGAGACAACAGATCATTCCCTCTTTTGAAGTATTTTTTTGTAGATTTTCTTTCCTTGTGGGGACCTTTTTCTCCCACAGACTACGTACTGTTCACTTTCTGTTACTAATGGATGCTTCCAGTGGTTGTTCTGGATGTTTCCTTTTTTTCATCAAGGATGTATCCAGTTTTCTTCCCCATGTCTTGGAATCTTGAATTGGTTTGTGTTTGACCTGGCACTTTGAAAAAGTATATCTGTTGGTTAACTGTATGAGGTAAATCATACTGACGCCATGTCTTTATTCTCAGTCTTCTCGAAAAACGCTTTGCATTTGAGTCTTGGAAATGATCAGTTTATAAAACATAACCCGTCTGCCATTTCTTGTCAAATATGTGGAATTTCTATGTTTAATTAAATATTTCTTCTTTTTAAATGTTTTTTATAACTTCCTATTGGTGTTCACTCACCTGACAGTTTCCGTTTTTTCAACATCTGAAAGTTATTTATTTATGATGGAAAATACATTCTTTTTTTGTAATCATGTTTTTTAACTTTGTGTTCACTTTGACCCATTGATGACTGATCCAGTAAGAATTTCATAAATGCAGCCTAGAGCGAGCAGAATATGACTGTGTTATCAATGTTATTTTAACAATAAAACACTCTTCTATTGCATTGTGAATCATTTGAAAATGCTTTTAAATTTACAACATATATTCAGTATGATACATCTTTTTAATTCAAAATGTGGCTAAATAAATAGTCAATGGCAGCAAAAAAAGGTCAGAAGGCAGGATGAGCAACCTGAGTTGTAATAGTTCAACAATAACTCAAGGCCATTTGCACGATTGCATAAATACTGTTCATGCAATTTGAGCGATGCCAAAAGTTCTGCTGCACAGCGATTCTTTGCAAAATTCGAACGCAAGCATGCTCGCACACTGATTCTTAACAGGTGTACTGTTTGTGATGTTCACCAGTTTAATTAAGCATGTAAGCATTCTAATATCAGTTATTTTACCTGTTAATAACGTAGAGCTGAGGCTGATTGGAATATCAATCATTTTGGAAGTATTCAGTCAAACTGAAGCTCAACATGTGTACGTTTTCATATGAAAACTCAAACAATAAAAAATGACCCAAATCCCAACAAAATAAATGCAGATGAAATAACCTCAATGGACCTGTGAATAGCATGTAAAAAAATAAAATGATTGCATCAACATTTGGCACTGGTGCTTCATGATATAACAAGCTACAGACATTAGTTCCTTTTTGACTTTCATGCAAATCAAGCTGATTGCAAGTGCCTGAAAAATGAAATTGTTGAGGCCAACCTTGCTCTAGTATTCAGTGAGTGTTATATTAAATTGTCAATTCTGTGTCTTCTTTCAGGACTGCAACCGTTTTTTAGCCGTGTACGCCCTGCTGACTTGGTTCATTATGACGAGGGCATTGAGAGCAGTGCAGAGTGCTGACAGGTACCAGGTGTATTCCCCGACAGACGCAGTGAACCATGCAGAGCTGAGGCCCAGGAGCAGGCTGCCACTGCCCAGCAGGTACGTGACGAGCCCGGATGCTGCATGGTAGCGTTTGAGTTTCGCCAGGGACCAGCCTTTGGCCAGAGAGTGGTAGATGAGAGGCAGTGCTGCCACAGACTGCAGCCCCACCACACACACTGTGAGCAGGCCCAGCAGACCATGCCATGAGGTGAAGTGGGGTTTACCATTCAGGTGTTTGTTGTAAACGATGGCTGCCAGACCCAGGACTGCACAGGTAACACAGAGGCACTGCAGGATCCAGTGAGCACGACCTTTTGTCTTGTGTGGAAACTTTTGGGCGAGGGAGCCGTGGGGGGAGAACAGGAGTATGGCTTCTGTCATGAAGAAGGAAAACTAGTGGGAGAGGGGAAACAAATTAATGGGGCTGCAATAAGCCAAAATGTCATTGTTGATTCAAATGTTGGTCTATAAAATAACATATCCATCACATTTTCAAATTGCAGGTGTTGAAGCTGGGTTTCTAGAAAAGGAATTAGTTAGCAAAATAGTTGTCTGATATGTTTCAATTACCTACAAAAAATGATTAACTGATTAACAGCTAAAAAAAAGTGTAATTCAAACGTTTGATTGAACTTATTGCATGTGTTAACAGCTGGAAAGATTTAATAGGAAACTTAAACGTTAAACTTACAGCCAGTGTCATGAAGAAGGGATGCCAAGAAAACAAACCTATGACAAAAAAAACAGATAGTCAAATGAATACCTGGCATGCCAAAAGTAGGCTACTTCTATTATGAATATGTTTGAAAAATAAGAATAAGACTCACTTGTACCCGGTCGAGACAGAACTGCAATGAACACAGTGAAGGAGATGCACATAAAGTGTGTGAGCACTGTGGTAGCTGTTCTGGTATAACCGTAGATTCGAGGCTCGGATTCAGCCTCTTTGTTGTAAGCCATGATAAAGACAATTTATGTGAATTTGGGCAGCACCCCTGCTCCCGACCACCCCACAGGTTTACGTCTACAGTGTATGTTTGTCACCTGAAGTGAACTCGCAGCTTCAGAATAACAGAAGCGGAAGTGATGGTGGATCAAAAGTAACCGTTGCCTCTTTAAGTCGTGTTAAAGCTAGCAGACGGGACTTTTCGACACAAGTCTACCTTACCAGATAAGTGTTGCAAAGAGGTAAGATAACTTTACCAATAATAGATGTATGAATAAAGTCCAACACGTTGTTATGCATGTCTACCGGCTAGGAAAATATAACTTCCGGTTGGTTAATTTCAGAATAAAGCTCTCTATAAACCACTTCACCTCAAAATACAATCACACGTTTTTTATGGTCATATACCAATAGTTTTATTATTGATTTGACCGTCCCTCAATCAATTGAACGATTATAATTCAGTTTTGTATTGTAGGTAAAGAAGAGTTTTAGCAGTGGGTCCATATCTATTTGAATGAAAATAAATAGCTTTCCAAAAGCTTTTATTGTGAAATCGGAATAACCGGAAATACAGCTTGAAGCTCCTCAGCTGACGTGGATGCCTCTCTTCAAAGATTTTCCACACACATTTAGCTAAAACACATTTTTTCTAGTTTCATCAAACCCGGAGCTGAAGGCACAGAGTTGTATTTAAAGTTGTGAACATAAATTGGGATATCATTTACATGTCTGAACAAAGTCTGTAAATCAGAGTAGGATGTGATGCCTGCACTAATGGTCTACTAGCACCCACATTACCTAACAGTTCAGTGGACCCTCACTGGTCAGCTGTTCACAGGTTATTGTGCTCCAATTACTCTCCGATAAGCTTGTACAGAGCAAACAACAACATGTTTATTCAGGACATCCCTTTCTTTGTTTTCTGTCTGTTTTACACACAGATTATATTGTAGGCACATTATGCCCACCAACCATAGGGACAGATGTTCTATTCAACATATAAAAAGTCAAAGGATAGATTGTTACTGTGTTTATGTTTCAATGTTTTCCAGAAAAGCCAGACTTGTGGTTTCCTATTATGACCCATACTCATAACTCATGCGCTTTCTCCAGATGGTGGCAGCAAGATGTACCATCAAAATAATAGCTTATAAAAAGATCTACCTCCCATGTGTCAAGTCGATATGAGAATCAGAATTATAGTGCATCCAATCTTTACGCCTACTTGACTTCTAAACAGTGAAAGAAGTATTGTAATTATCTTCTTAAGTCACTGAAACTATAGCATTGTCGTTTAGTTAATAAGAAAATGCCAAGTAAATCGTCCATTCAAAATGTCCATTGAATAAAAGTACACAAGTATTAGCACAAACTATCCTTTAGGTTTTTTATGAAGAAAAAAAAACTCATAATGCAAGTTGCCACCATCAGTGTAATTGGTCAATTCATTACATTTTTAAGTATCTATCAATGACTGAACACAATTTATTTTTGAAATGGCTAGTGATGAACAAGAGTCAATAAACAATTCTTGTTTCATTACTGGGTGAAAAAATTATCATTTTAATGTTTGGCCAATAAAATGAAGCCACACATGTATTACTCAAATTAACGTTGTTCCTAATGTTAATCATTATGGTTGAAACATTATTGTTAATAGTGGTTACTGTATTTACATACTTGCTACATGGACTGAAAAATAACTGTGAAGAAAATAAGAGAGTGGTAGTCTAAAGCTCATTGTATTCCAAAATGTCTGGTTTGAAAGAGATAACAAGAGCCCTTCATCATCCTCCCCCATATTTAAGCCTGGAGGCTTTTTCCCCATTGAGTGATTTCCAAATGGTCTATAATTAAACAAGAGTCTATTCTTTCCAAAATAAGATTGACCGTCATTTCTAAAAAAGTGAATCCGTATGTCTGTGTCAGGTTGTATACATTAAAGCACATTACATACTAAATCCCTTTTCGACAAAAGTCTAACATTTCCTGTGATTTTTTGGGGCGTGATTGATTCAACTGTGCAATTGTTTTTTATGGATCGCATAGGTTTTAACTGCAATTTACCTTCTCATGCACCATACCAGGTACCTTTTGCATGTTTGTCTTACATTAAGATAAAATGTAGAACAAACGGACCTAAACGCAGAATATACAAAATGTGCCAAAATACTTATTTCATTTATATGTATTTTTAATATAGGTGTACACATTGTAAGGCTTTATTAATGGCCAATAAATAGTGTACTAATGATTTACATGCAGTATTATAAGAGCAACAGTATAACGAATATATTGATTTAATATGCTTATCATTTCTATTTTGTAATTGTTTTTAAAAAAAAAAGCTATATAAATGTTAATAACGTCGTTTTTTTTTTAAATAACTAAAATATTGATTAGCACATAGGCTTGCTTAAAAAAATAAAAATAAGTATTATTTCAAAACCTACAATTTATGGACTACAAGTTTATTATGATATTGACCCATCACTGTACACATATTGTAGTTAATCAGTGCTGCGTGACGACAGAGGGGGCTCTTCTCGTGGATCCTCCCCTCAAAATACTTTATTCACATACCGGATTAGACGGTAATCCCACGGTCACATTGTGCATGCGCAAATTGAAGTGCGTGCGAGGGGCGAGCGGGCGAGGGACCGTCGGTGTTGTACAAACGACAAAACTGCAGCCTATCTACTCTACGATGAGTGGCGAGGATGAATTAAACGAGGTAAGGTTATTTTAACTCCTCTTCTGTCAGGAAATCAGAACACTTGCTCGGGTGTGACTGTCAACTGAGTTGTTTGTCCCATTCTCGGAGAGGATTACCGGTCTGACCCGTTACTGAGCTGCATTTTGCAACCATGACAAATGCAGAATTAAAGGAAGAATATAAACTGTAATGATCTAGCCATGTATCATATGCCTAGTTTCAATCTATTCACTAAAGTAGCAGGCTGTGCTCGGATGATCCCGGTTACAATATGTTCTTGTTGCCCTGCGAGGATAATTGCACCGTGTGGTGACCCACTTGGCAGATAGAGCCCCGGGTTGTTCGTATTCAAGTCACAATGCTGCCCTGGGAAACTAATGAAACTGAGTTTCTGATGCACCCGAGAACAGTTTACACGCATTCATCCTACTGACAATCTGGAGGATGTATTCATTTCCTTCCATGCAGGGTTGGGGTCACTTTAAAAGTGTATTTCGGTACAATTACTAGGTATCTGTAAAACTAAATGTAATCAGTAACCTAATCTGAGTATCAAGATATTTTCTGTAATTTACAATAACATAGTGGAGAAGATGTGTAGATAACAAACATAAATAAAGTTAAGTATTTTACATTACAACAGTAGGCTACATTCCACCACTGTGTTATACACATTTAGCAGAGTTGTTATGCATACGTAACATGAGAGTCTCTGATCATAGACTAAAAAACATGCATGGCTGTAGAAATACATTTAAGATAGTTCTCTGCTTTCTGAATTGTTGGATACAATTGTACTGGCCAGGGGTGTTAAGTAACTAAGTACATGTACTCAAGTATGTACTTAAGTACAATTTTGAAGTACTTGTACTTTACTTGAGTGTTTCCATTTTGTTTTACTTTGTAGGTAAATATTGTACTTTTACTCCACTACATTTATTTAATACCTTTAATTACTTTGCAGATTTGGATTAATGATAAATCATATGATCAACACTTAAATCAGACTTTGTTTGTTTGTTTATTTATTTAAAGGGTTAGGGTTACCTTTACCAGCTTTAATAAACACATTAATGCATCAATAATGCTAAACATAATAATCCAAACATATAATATATTCGATTCTGTAATGGACCAATCTGCATAATAAGTACTTTTACTTTTGGTACTTTAAGTATATTTTGATGGCAATACTTTTGTACTTTTACTTGGGTAACATTTTGAATGCAGGACCTTTACTTGTAACAGAGTATTCCTACACTGGTACTTCTACTTTTACTTAAGTACAAGATCTGGGTACTTCTCGCACCTCTGGTACTGGCATACTTCAGCATGGACAGACAAACAGTTTGAGTTGCCCTGGGATTGCAGAGGATTATATCAGTCATCTTGTCCCACATTTTATCATAATCATATAAATCCTCGCATCAGATAAATAAGGTTAATCTCTTGTTTTTTTCAATTTTTTGAGCTCATACTGTTATACATCATACATTGATTTTTTATGTACGGTATGTTTTGCCTAAATGGAATCTGATGTATGTGAATATTACCCATACATTTACTAATTGTATTGTGTATGATTTAAAACCTTTTTGCAGCTTCTCTGGATTTAGAAACCACCATTTCTCTGCACAACACACTGATCTGGACTAAATTGAAAAAACTGAACTGCAGACTGAGCAGAGCTCGACATTCACAACATCCGCATTAAGGATGCACCATACTAATGCTGTCTCCTCCCAGAGCTGAATTTATACCCACACTAGCTAATGGACTGCAAGTGATTACTTGAAATGTCAGAGTCTGCATCAGGGACAGGATGTCTAAATGTGAGTTGATTGAACTGAAGGACCTCAGTGCAAATGATACCATTGAGCTGGCTGCTCCTGCGGCCCCCTCGGCCCCACCCTCTGTAAACCCAGGTCAGCCGGGCCATGTGGTCCGTCTGGTCGGAGACAGCGTCAGCATCGAGGCCCCCCGGGGTCAGATGGGACGAGCTGGAGTGGGTCATGACTTCCATCCATACAGCCACACCCATCTCACCTGGTGTGACCAGTGTGGAGAATTCATCTGGGGCATCTATAAGCAAAGTTTACGCTGTGCCAGTGAGTACATTCTTCATCTGAATTTGTTTGGTAATATTCTTTATTTTTCTTAAGTACAAGATCTGGGTACTTCTGTGCCGTAGACATCTGTTATTGTGACTGTGTGAAATGTATCATCAACTAAGCACTGTAGTTTAGTTTAGTTTAAGTCAAGCTCACATTCATGGTCCAGTTGTATGTGTTTAAATCCACGGTCGAAAAGAGTCCCCAACAAACTCAGTATTTACTCCTGTTTGTAACGTTTGCTAAAAAAATTGGCTTGGGGCTGAGAACAACAAACAGATTGAAACAACTGTGGGACAGATTAACAGATATATGATTATATAAATAATAAATAAATATAAAGTATAGCACCAACCTTTTCCTTTATGTTTAGTGTACATACATGATGAGAATACTTTTCTGCAACCATTGACCGAGAGAGATGCAACCAGCCTCTTAATCTTTTTTTGCATGAGATAATGGGAAGTCAAGTATATTAAGCTGTTATCATCATTCTTGCATTTGTGCTTAATAATAGGAATTGTGAACCATCGTTTTCTCTTACTCAAGATTTGTAAAGAACACTAGTATGGAGTTAAAATCTTCAACCTTATTAGAAATGTCTTAAAATGTTCTCGAACCATGGCCCAAATCAGCTCAATAACCACATGATATATAAGTCCTCTCTCTAACGCATTCAGAGATGTGACATTGTCTTCATCTTCTATATCACCAGGCCTCAGGATGCTCATGTTATTTTTCCATTCATGAGATACTTTCACAGAGTAAAATAATTTTAAGGAAGTTCTGGCAAGCTTCATGTAGGTATAGTTCCTGGAAATGTATTTGTGTGTGTACAAAATTTGACTTTGTCCCAGTTCAACAGAGAAATGCAATGCTATAGCAACCTTTAGAAACATTGCATAAAATATCAAACATGAGCATTTTTTATTCTGTATACATACGATTATGTTGGCATGTTCGAGAATCTAGAGTAGTGTGTTTTAGGGCAATGTTTTTACCACAGGGGCAGATTACTGAACACAACAGAGAGCTATTCACAACAAGTGTTGTCCGCGAACCAAAGCATAACTCAGACATTTCCTTCTTTCTCTTTGATCTCAGACTGCAGTTACACTTGTCACCACCGCTGCCGACTATTTATCCAGCTGGACTGCAGCACAGATGGAAGTTTGTTACCAGACGAGGAAGATTTCTCTGTGGACTCCCTTGAAACAGATACGAATGTGGTGAGGATCAGACCTACAATCTTACATTTTCTAAATTTGTATAGAAAGTCTTCATCGGATGGTTTTTGGTGGGTAGGTCAAAGCAGATGGAGGCTCCCAGATTCACTGAGTATCCCCATGCCATATGTCCTCAGGCCCCTACACACCAGGCCGATATCGGCCGTCTTGCGTTGTTGGGCTAAAGGCCCTGACACACCAGGCAGTCACCAGAGAACTCGCCGACACCCGACACCGACAGTTCCATCGACGTGTTCTCCTGCGTATTGGCCGTGTGTCGCACTGGAAATCACCGCAAAGACTTCAGCCGAGCACGTACGAACTGCGCATGCGTGAGTGGCAATAACTCTCCTTACCAGCAGGCGGCGGTAGTGTGTATTCGTCATTCAAAATAGGCAACAACCGGAAGACAGAGAAGAAGAACAGACTGATATAAACAAACAAATAGCATGTGCGTTCTATTTTCACTCTCGTCCATCGAAAACATGTTTTAGAATATAAAAATACATGAATGATGAAATGAGCACATCAAGTGCAGACATACTATAAAATCACAGTTAATAGACCTGCATCTGATGATCGCAGTGTTCTGGCGGGTGTGTAGTTTATTGAGTCAGCAATGTAATAATGGCCACTTCTTGCTAAATTTACGATGAGATGAAAAACCGGACTTGACCAAACAAATCACGGAGCTCTCAGCAGAGGACAGCCGGGGACCCCATAAGAAATGTTACCATAGTGTACCATAGTACGTACCATGGTATACCATGGTACTACCATGGTACTACCATGGTACCTCAGATTTTACCATAGTGTACCATAGTACGTACCATTGTATACCATGGTACCTCAGATGTTACCGTAGTGTACCATAGTACGTACCATGGTACTACCATGGTACGTCAGATGTTACCATAGTGTACCATAGTACTACCATGGTACCTCAGATGTTACCATGATGCATACCATGGTATAACCCTGGTACATACCGTTGTACCACAGCTGTTACCATGGTACATACCATGGTACCTCCGATACTATAGTACATGCCGCGGTACCTCAGATAACTGGTACTCCATAGAGTATTCAAATGGTACTACAGGTATACCATGGTATGTATCATGATAATCACTCAAGTCCCATTGTATGCATTTTTTTTTTTTTTTTTAAATGTGAATGCAGGTCTTATACTTTGTTTAGTATTTTTCATTGCTGGTTTTAGTTGGTTTCCCTTTAGGTAACATATATTTTCATCTTCTTTTTCAACACATCTTGACACAAAATAGCCAAAGAATTACACTTTAGATAAAGATGTTGTTATTGAATGAGACAACTGAGTTCATACAGCGCTTCAATGTGGCGTTTTACTCACATATTTAGAAATATCCATACAGATTTACCCAGTCACAGACACAAACACACATGCATTACAAAATACAGTTAATGATCAAACAGTGAGTTATAAAAAAACAATAATAGCATAAAGAAAAACACATTTAAATCATCATATATGTGCAGACAAATTGAGTCTCAACAGTTTGTGCTAGCCCTCAACATTTAACTTGTCTCAAACACAGGCATTTTCATCACATATAGCTTACCCCCATGTTCAATTGCAATACATTTAGCTACTATGTCCTCACATGTCAATACACACAATTCATTGGAGATCTTTACTTTTACAAGACATTTTGCAATGTTTGTATGGATCTCTGCATCATAGATAGCTGGCTGTATGTGCTCCTGCTGCAATGGCTTGTAGAAAACAAGAAGTTCTCTGCAACAACAGTTTGCATCTCTTTCACAGTTGCAGGGTTTTGGTACAACAACCAAGGACTCTACCATACCAAAGCAATTTGAGGTTTCTATCACTGAATTATTTCTTTTGAAATGCATACTGTAGTCTCTGGTGGTGACTAAAATGTTTTTATACACACAACGCTTATATTCAGTTACACTATTAAGATGTTGGTACCTTGTGGGTGTACTGTTTTGCAGTGCAGCAATCTCCCTCACATTTAACAGTCTGTGAGAGCCACATCCTAAAGTGACTAAATGTTCTCTTATGCAGTTTGCTGACTTCGTAACAATGTTACTACTGGTCAGGGAAAAGAAAAAATCTTGCATTTCTCTGCTTGAATCCTGGAGTAAAGCATTTCCTTTTCTTACAACTTTCTATACCCGGCCTCTTTTCGTTCACCTCTTGGGCCTATCAAAAAGCACACCATTAAAAAAAAAAGATTAGGTTTAAAAGCCAGTGGTGGAAAGTTAGTTCTAAATAAATGTACTTGTGTTTTGAGGATTTAGCAGCCAGGTACAGTATGTATTGCACAGTTTAGGTAAATTTAGGTCACTGCACTTTGGACTTAGTATAAAACAGATACATACCTTCTGAAGATCCTTATATTTTTTGATAATGTCTGATGACTCCAGCCGTGATTTTTTGCTTGGTCTCTCCTGAGAACAGCAACAACATACATAAATATTTGTTTTTGTGTGTGGTTGTGTGTGTATCTTCATAAAGTTGTGGTGTTTCGATTTTGAATAACTCACCTCTGACTGTTCCACGTCGTCGTCATCCTCCAGAAAAGGCCTCCTTTTCTTTGCCCTCTTGCCTTTTCCCATTGGCCCGGATTGTTCAAAAGGTTCTTTACCTTCAACCAGCCGGTTCCTCATTTTGAGGAGTGCACCTTTGTCATCTATTGGAAGCAACAAAGATATTCAGCCTATTACTTTGTACAATCCATATATATATATATAGGGTACATCAACATTTGTATGTGAGTCACATTGTCTGCTTACATGACAATATGTTGTTTTCGCCCAACAACGCAAGACGGCCGATATCGGCCTGGTGTGTAGGGGCCTGAAAACGGGTTCCTTGTCGCCCAAAGTCAATTTGGTGTGTCCCGAACCCTCGGCCGTGACACGCCTTATTTGGCCTTTCACGGTCGGACACAAGCTATCGGGCCAAGAAACCACTCTGATCAGCTGTTCAGCTAGCAAATGAGAAGCGAAACGGAAGTGAGGGACGTAAACAAACGATTTAAGGCACAAGACAGCAGCTAAACACCAGCAGGTGATACTTAAGACATCAAACATAGCCCTTAAATGTCCTCTCTTACCTCCCACACATAGCAGGGACATCTCTGATATCGGCGGGAGCGTCCCCGGCTGTCCTCTGCTGAGAGCTCCGTGATTTGTTTGGTCAAGTCCGGTTTTTCATCTCATCGTAAATTTAGCAAGAAGTGGCCATTATTACATTGCTGACTCAATAAACTACACACCCGCCAGAACACTGCGATCATCAGATGCAGGTCTATTAACTGTGATTTTATAGTATGTCTGCACTTTATGTGCTCATTTCATCATTCATGTATTTTTATATTCTAAAACATGTTTTCGATGGACAAGAGTGAAAATGGAACGCACATGCTATTTGTTTGTTTATATCAGTCTGTTCTTCTTCTCTGTCTTCCGGTTGTTGCCTATTTTGAATGACGAATACACACTACCGCCGCCTGCTGGTAAGGAGAGTTATTGCCACTCACGCATGCGCAGTTCGTACGTGCTCGGCTGAAGTCTTTGCGGTGATTTCCAGTGCGACACACGGCCAATACGCAGGAGAACTCGTCGATGGAACTGTCGGTGTCGGGTGTCGGCGAGTTCTCTGGTGACTGCCTGGTGTGTCAGGGCCTTTAGATACTGGTTTTATTGCCTTCACATTGTCATGCATCTGAGTAGGAGAGAGCTGAGGGGAGGGGACAACTTCACAATAAAACAGCTGCCTTTATTTTAGAACCACAGGTTAAAAATGGACCAGCACCAAGTTATCAGATAATTAAAGGATTCATCGACATTTTCATTTTTCAGCCCATCCAAAACATAAAGTACACCATACATTCCAATGGGACATTCAGCAAAAAACTGAAAAAAATGCGACATCATTTTTGAAGCCCTAAATAATGCCCCAATACACCAGCGGTTTAAAAGCCCCAGACTGTGGATCTCCCCCTTAGACAAAGCTTGGGAAAAGGTGCCCCACATCCCCCATAGTTGTCTTGCTTGGTTTTGCTAAATTCCTGGATGCCTAGGATCATGGTAATAATTTTGATCCTATAGACACTTAACAATTGAGCAAAAATAGCCTAATATGGCTGTTTGACATGCATTCAGACTGTAATAAGGTCTCTTTTAACTAACTTACTAATCAATCAGTGTTGAAATGCTTGAATTCTAGCCTATATATTAGGAAACTACAATACATCTTAATGTTAATATGTACCAACACATCAACAATCACATTCGGTGAAAGTGTTGCTTCCAGGAGAGTTTTAGCACATCTCCTCTGGGTATTAGCTGGCCTTTTATCAAACATCATTGTGAGGTTTTATTGTCAAACATCATTGTGAGGTTTTATTGTCAGGGAGGAGCAAATGTAAATGCTGAGGTCAAAAGAGCGGAATAAGATCTCAACAGCAGGAGAGAGACAGAGACAAACTCATTCTGACATACAACTCCAGAGGAGATACTAAGATTTTGGCAAGGACAAAGATCTAACCAAGTCCTTCAGAGATGACCCGGGGTAGCGCAGCAGCAAGTGACATGTTTATCAGTCAGGAGGACTGTTTTACTGCCCATACATCTTTCTTTCAGAAGGTCAGAAGATCATCGGTGAGGCTATGGCATAATTTATAATTTTTCAAACACAAAGCTATTTTGACTTACTTTTACCTTTACAGAATTGCATATTTCTTGTTTAACTAGTGACAAAATGCTTGAATGTATTTTACTTTCATTTCAATGCTTCTGTTCTCTTTCACTTTCTCTTCCTTACTTTTGAGGACAAGCTCTCAGCTGACATTAGGTGGCTTATTTTCTGTATGTACCTGCTGTTTTCTTTTTAGGATGAGCTGATCGATTCGGGTAAACAGGAGCTGACGCCTAGTGAGATTCAACATAAGATTAAAGAGTATAATGCACAGATCAACAGCAATCTCTACATGGTGGCCGTGAGTGACTAATACATCTATTTTCTCTCAATATTCATTTATGCACAAATGTGTACTTGAATTGTATTTGGAAATAACAATTTGCAGACCATTCAACTCCCATTCTTACAATATATATCTCTACTTTGCAGAATAAAGATGGGTCCTACACTGGATTCATCAAGGTCCACTTTCAGTTAGTCCGTCCTATCTCCCTTCCTCCTGCTGAGAACTCATGCTCAACACAGGAGGAAGATCAGCAGGGCCGACGGATGAAACGGCGGACATCTTTCTACCTCCCTAAAGACGCTGCCAAGCACCTGCATATAAGCTCCCAAACACGAGTGCGAGAAGTCATCGAGGCACTACTCAACAAGTTTACTGTGGTGGACAACCCGGCCAAGTTTGCCCTGTTTGAACGCTCAGAGAGACATAGTCAAGGTAGAAAACTCAAAATACGTAGTTACTACAAAACAAAACAGAATAAGGCATTAAGTTCTATGCTGCTGTGTTTTATTCCCTGCAGTGTACATGCGTAAACTGCCTGATGATGAGCATCCCCTCCACCTGCGCCTGTGTGCTGGCCCCAGTGAAAAGGTCTTGACCCTTATTTTGAAGGAGAATGAGACAGGGGAAGTAAATGTAAGTTTTAATTAGTCTCTGATAATTTCTATACATATGAAAGACCATATTTTATTCCTCTATTTCATTCCATTTCAATGTAAATACTGTTATATTTGACTATATATTTTAAATTATTTTAAATGTTTTTTTAGTTCTCTACCTGTGTTTTTAATTCTTGTTTTTATGCACCACGACACCAATTCAAATTCCTCTTACGTGTAAACCTACCTGGTAATAAACCTGTTTCTGATTCTGATTTGAATTCTGATAAGCTGAAAACGCCAGTTAATGTATACATATATCGATTATAATGTGACATTTCTCTCCTCCACAGTGGGATGCATTTAGTTTACCTGAGTTGTGCAACTTTCTGCGAATCCTGAAGCGTGAGGAGGAAGAGCATGTGCGGCAGATTGAGAGGCGCTACACTCGCACTAGGGAAACCACGAAGCAGGCTTTGGCAAGGATTACGACTCCTGGTTGACTGTGAAGAATTGAACTAATCTCCATATCTTAACATGAAGAAGAACACTCTCACACTTTAAATAGTATTGTGGATTATGAGGGTAAAAGGGAAAGCAAGAGCTCAGACAATGACATTGTTTTCAGTAAATGCTGTTCATGAAGGAGGGATGCTGCTATGTGTACGCATTGAGCCACTGTTGTGAACTGAATGGGTGTATAATAGATGATCTTTGATTGAATGCAGCTCTTTCTTGAAGAACCATGCTACTTGTTTGGGTTATTTATAGTGGTATTAAAACACACTTATAGTATATTGTTCATTTATCATGTGATCTTTAGTTATTTTCTGTGAAGCTGTTTTAAAATGTTGGCACTTTAATTAACCTGGGAAATTAATTTGGGCAAGATATAATGTGAAACAATTTGTTTACATTCTAACTTTCTAATAAAAAGATCATAATAAATAATTGGTGCTTATGATATCCTTGTTGAAACTGTGCATGAAGTAATCAGTTTGTTAGACTGTGTGTTAGACTAGCTGTTCACATTTTAGCGTGGTAAGCCAAAGCTGAAGTACACTAGATGAAAGAATGTGACTATACGTTACACTGATATTTTACAGTTGAATATCTCATTTAAAACCACAGCCATTAATATGCTGTTGTAACAACCTCCACTCTTTTGTCAAAGGTTTGAAGGTTTGATAAATGGAAGGAAGGATTTTCTCTTCCACACAATTAATGCTAGGCAAAAACTCCCAGCATGTAGGTGCTGTTCAAATGTATGATACAACACCTACATAAATAAATTATATTATATTATGTATAAATATTATTATATTATAAATGGGTCAAACAGAAACCATGAAAAGTACACAAAAGTATTACACATACTACATGTACTTTTGGTTTGGTATGTTTTTTGACAGACCTGGTCAAACGTGGTCTCGGTATGGGTTAAAAAGGCAGTGAAATATTGCTTTCAGAACAAAAGGAGCAAAAACAGAAGGGGTGGTAGCAAAACAAAGTTAAATTTCCCTTAACTGTGGGTTTAAGACTAACAAAAATAATGTTCTATTTTAAAGCCTAGTTAAAGGGACAGGCAAAACCTTTAATAAGCAGGTTTTCCTCATAGACTGTTCACTAACTGAAGAAAGCAAAATACCATGACTTTTCGCTATCAGGGCTGTTAGGGAAAACATCAGGCAATATGTATTGTGAGATTATTACATTTCTAAGAGAAATTGATCAATTTAAAATAATCTAGAGTTTTGGTTCTTTGTTTTTATTTTATTTTATTTTATTTATTGTTTTCTGCATAGTCTCTTGTCCACACTCCAGTCCAGTTGGTGGCGGTAATGCACCTACAAGTTGGTTTGCCAACCGCCAATAAACACCAAAGAAGAAGAAGACTGTTCACTACGCCTGTTTAGCACTTCCACACGTTGTCCATGTGATGGCGGTAGCGTACCTTATACTCTTAACCAGACGCTAAAGAAAAAGACGGAGAAGAAGAACGTGTACCATTAGTTAGCATAAACAGTTAGCATAGCTGTGTGGTGATATCTTGAAAAGATCTAGCAACCCAGCAAGACAAATTCATCAAGGAACATTATATACTTGCGACCGCACCAAACCCCACTTTAGGTATGTTTCCACCAAGCTAAGTGACGGATGTCGGTTATAAAACCAGTTAGTGTTAACGTTAGCCCTTGGCAGCGTCGCTTAACGTTATTTTGTCAGATGGAAACATGTTGACCTGGCTAATGCTAGTAACAGAGTGCTAACTGTATTTTGCCAGTGGTGATGTGAGTAAGCAGGACATAAAGTGACATAACCAGTGTAACTAATGCAAGCAGCACTAGTGTCTTAACGGTGCTGTTGCTCAAAGAAAGCTAGCTTTATTAGCCGTTCTCTTCAGATAACCTATGCTAATGGTACCGAGCATTCTTGACTACAAGCAAAGCCGACTAACGTTATTCAGGATGTTTATATTTCTAAAAAACAAATGTACCCATATTATATTGAGACATCCGGGTTTGTAACGTTAGCAGGCTTTGTGTTTCCTTTTAACAATGTGTATTTATTGACTGTAGCATCGTCTGGTTGCACTGTCATGTCAGTGGCCTCCTATATTCTGGCACTTTGACATAGGGCATATGCCACAAAATATATCCTAACTCGACATTAGCTTTGTCTCTTTGTCCTTTATTTTGTGTCCTATGTAAGCTTTAAGCAATATGGTTAATGTTTATAGAATAATGACCTATAAATTGTGTTTTTTATGCTGCTGTATCAAAAAAATGTCCCAATTGATGTATTTCTCATATTTTCGGTAATTGTCATTGTTTATGATATCACTATTCTGGGTTTCCAAAAAATCCATGTTAATCGTAGATTATTTTGGTTTGGTGATTATTATAAAACAATGCCTAAGTAACTTAACTCTTCTATTTCATGTCATTTTTGTAGGTGTTTTTTTTTTAAGGTCCCTCTTCATCTTGTACAGTGACACTGTATAACTACTGGCAGTCTGGTGATCCAAGAAAATAATGTGCTGCAGCTGAAGATGGGGGGTAGCGGCTCCAAATCCAAAGGATTTTGGCCTTTTTCAGGCTCGGTTGGTGCAGACGATCCAATCCAAGATGGAAACGAGCAGTCAATGGCAAGAGCTCGGAGTTTCACAGGCGCAACACCTTTTGTGTTAACTAGACGAAGGTACATTCACCTCAGTATCTTATAGCCTTCATCCTACCTGTTTTAACCTCACTTGAAGCCAGTGTTGTTTACACTTGGTATTACGGACCCACAAATTCCTGCTTTTGCACAAAAAGTCTGACACATCTTCTGGTGCAATACACCAGTGGTTCCCAACTTTTTTTTTACCAAGGCACACCTAAAAATATTTCTCGACCCCAAGGCACACCAACTTCTCGTAGATTTAAAAACCACTTCAGAGCTTAAACTTCAAACAATAAATACACCATAAATTGGTTTTCAAATGTGTATTTAATTTAATATAACGTTTTATAGAACAAATAATCAAATATAAGTAATCTTAAAAACCATATAATCCATCATATAATGACAAGAACCAGACTAAAAACGACTTATTATTTTACATTTGGATTTCAAAAGAGGTAGGCCTATGATAACTTAAAATTAATAATAACTTAATAATTATAACAGACTAATCAGTTTAAACAACAAAACTATGATAGGCACATGTTAGTGCGACACATGTGCCTGCTTTTGGGAGCAGTCTCTTTATGCGTGGGGGGATAGTGGACAGCGCAACGCGGAGGTCCTGCTCCACTGACAGCCGGGGGCGGGTCTTGTTTTTGACATATGCGAGTGAGGAAACCGCCAGCTCGCACAAGTAGGAGGTTGGAAACGGTAAAAGCAAGTTGATAGCACTCTCTGAGAGGGATGGATACTTGTGTCCCACAAGCAGCCAAAAGATATCCAGAAGTAGTTCACCGTGCTTCAGTTTCAGGGAGCGGTCCATAGCTCTGCGAGTTCATCCTGAGCTCTGCTGTTTAAACTAGTGGCTGATATTAATGAGAGGATTAAACGGATCCCGCAGCCAATCAAAGTCTTCATTCATAGGAGGGAATTATGACTCAAACCTCTCCTCCAGCACTCTCACTCTCATTACTCTTGTAATATTTTGGCGCGAGGATAAAAAGCTGCTCTGCACGCCGTAAACAATGACGGCTGATGTAAGTCATGAGAATTTAAGCAGTCGGTATTTAATATTTCTAAAGCAATATACGTTTTATTAGCTTATCAGCGCCATTGAACATGTAATAAAATAAAGTTTAAATGAAGGCACACCGGCTGGGAACCACTGCAATACACCATTAAAAAGGGCTTGTCAGATCAGGCGATATATATTCCACTAATGAATTTTAGTGTTAATGTGTCCACTCAATCTTCCCTCTGGAACTCACTCCCACAAAACATGTGAGACTTCACTGACTTCCCCACCTTCAAAACACTGACCAAAACACACCTCTTCAGACTGGCTTTTAATCTGGTGGTGGTGTCGTTTTAATATTTTATTTCAACTATTTATATTTTATTTTATTTCCTACCACTGTAAAGTGTCTTTGAGCACCTGAAAAAGCACTCAGAAATTAAATGTATTATTATTATTATTATTATTATTATTATTATTATTATTATAATTTCTTCTCCTTATTTTTTCTGGAGGAGTGGACACACAAATAGTTTTTAGCTGAGGATGAATGAATGGTCTTAGCTACCCTCTTAAATATTGTAATGTTAAACATTTTAAGGAGGTTTAATGTCGGAGCAAAGCATTGGAAAACGACATTTTATGTATAGATGTATATGTATAGTATACATGTGTACATGTATATCATTAATTTCGTCTCTCTGCTGCAGCTCTCTGTACTTGGATGAAGATGGCGACATGGCCCATGAGTTCTATGAAGAGACAATTGTGACAAAAAATGGACGAAAAAAAGCCAAGCTGAAAAGGATTCACAAAAACCTAACATCTCAGGTGAGTACATTACAATGCCTAAACTAAAGCTTTTCACAACAAGGGTAGCTCTCTGTATTATCATGCTTTAATTGTAATCTCTTTTGTGTCCTTCTAGGGAATTATAAAGCTGGAGATCCCTTGCATCCATGTAGATTTCCCAGTTGTCCTCTGTGAAGCCTGATGATGTCTGAAGGGTGTCTCAGACTAGCCACTGTCAACTCCGTCCTGTGGCTTCCCCTACAGCTGAAAGCCTGAACCACCTTTTAATATAATATGATCTCCTGATATATTTGATTCCCTTGTGTGGACAGGCTGATGCAATGTGAGTGAGCCCTGCATGTGATCTGTTTTGGCTTGTGTAAAGTTAGACAGAATAGATCACCAATGGAGATCTAGAAGGATGCCAAGTTGGCAGAACCTACTCAGTTTACAGAACATGGTTTGTCTGCATGTAAGTGTGAATGTGTGTGCAGACACGGGATGACATGGGAAGGAGTCCTGAATTTATTGCTGCAGATTGTTTTCTGGTATGATTCAACAAACTCTAGGATTTTGAGCAGAAGGCAACCAGTTCTTCCCTGTGTCACGGTCATATCTGGAGCGGGAAAGTTCAAGTGCACACTTTGTTTTTTGACACCATCATGACTTGCTTTATTATGCATGGAACAGGATCTGCTTGGTAATAGCCTAGGGAGTTGACAATCAGTGGCCCACAAAATCTCAAGTGGATTTATGTCATTATAACGCTGGATGGACTGGCTTCAATGACCTCAGAGCCACACATGTACACAGCAGCAGTGAGTCTAGTAAGAAATCCTGTTGGTTTGTTTGCTGCTTTGGCATAATATGTTTCACTTTTAATTTATTATAACTGTTTTTTAATTACAATATCAAATGCTCAACTGTGTCATTGTCCTTTTTAATATTTATACATTATAAGACTATAAGGTAATTTACTTTCTCACAAACTGTCAAGATAAGAGGAAAGAAAATCCATAGAAACAGTTAGTAGTCATTGCCTTTCAAAACTATTGGAGGGCATCAAGTTCTACAACTGAAAATGTACATCTGCTCTGTGTTTAATTGGATGATTTTAATTTAATAAAATAATAAAACTGAGGCTCCCATACCATACGACAGCCTGTAATGACTTGACCTGACAACCATACTGAGGTCTGGTAAGTTAGACCTGTGTGTTTGGAAATGTAATAATACAGTCTAAATTAGTTTAAAGGGACTTCAATCCTGAGAAACCAAATCCTTCTGAGTGAAACTAAAATGTTGAGAAAATAAAGAAAGTTACAGGAGGATATCTACTTTAATGAGCATCATATGAGGCTTTATAGTATATATTGCTTTATAAACTTTATTTGGCAAGCTTGTAAGGGTCATGTGACAAATAATCAACAGATGGAGAATTCAGCTTTTTTGCAACATGTTGTAAATACTAAATAACTGACCAGACCTTTCCAACAATGTGGTGGAAATAAGGCTCCTGACCTCCACCCATGATACAATTAGCCACCTGCATAGGAAATTGCAAAGGCAAACCATTGTTGGGAGTGTGTGTATGCATGTGTGCCAGGGCTGGACGTAAGAGAGAAGTGTTCATGAGAAAGGATTTTCTACAAAGCTGTCTGATATTGTTCTTCTCAAAGGATAAAGATGGCTATGCCAAAATCCACTACACTTTATTGCTTCCATGAAATGATTACTCCACACAAGTCTTTGTGCTTTTTTACCTCAGAGCAAATGTATTTTTCAGCTGAGTCTTGGGGAGACATGGCAGTACAATAACATTGTGTTGTTTACTCTCACAAAGCTGCAATAACATGCAAGATTATGTGGTGAATAGCAGTATCAAAAATATTTGACTCAGCAAACCACCCATCCTCTGGCTTCGCTGACAAAAAGTCTGAGCACATGTTCATACATAAAATACAAAAAGTAAGCCATTATTCACATAATCTATGAGGTATTCTGTGTCAAAATGAGCACCTTGTTTTCTTTGCCACAGGTGCAAACAAAGATCTTACAATATATAGTTAATATAGTCATTCATTAACCCTCAGAGGTGCAATGAGGTAATTTGGTTCAACAAAAGGTTGATATGGTATTTTTTGCGATGAACGTGTCGTATTATGAAGTTACTTTTTTGTTGCTGACCTTTGCACCTGACTGCATGACTGTGGTAAAAACTTTAAGACAGAATTAGATGAGTTATTTAAGATAGTACTTCATAGCTATACGACAGACAAAGTAATGTTTCAAAACAACTGAACATACCATCTGATTTATGTTTATTTTAAACTGATTCAAAATCATTCTGTTTTTATACAAAAACATGTGCCTGGTTTCTCTCATGTATATTTTTTTAAAGAAAAAAAAGTACTAAGCAAAATAAAACATAGAAACAACAAGAAACAAAACAAATGTTTGCTATAATAAGTATTAGGTTAACAGTAGCCCTAAATATATGACATTTTGAACATGAACATGGGTAAACGTTGCTTACAGCATGTCCATAAATAAATCTAAATATGTACATATAAACAGTCAAGATTGAAATATACATATATGCATGTATTCATGAGGTTACATGTGCCAGAGTCCAAAGTCAGTTCATAGAGTGCAGGTCATAAAGCTATTACGTTTTTTTTTATTCTGGGCCAATCCTTGCTTGTGGCATTCATAATGTGATTCCAAAGCGTTTATAGCACACCCTAAACATCAGTACAACTCCTGAGGATCATGTGTGAGCCATACTGGTAGAACTCCAGGCAAAATGTAAATGCTTTCAGTTGAGTCCTACAAATCTATTCACTTTGCTGTCTACTACTTCAAAGGCTTAATATGAAATGACTACAGGTATAAAACATTCAACATACAGGGCAAGCGCTGTGCTGTACACATTTTAATCTGCCTCAATGGATGATGTCAGAAAAAGCAGGTAAGAAAAAGCTTCACTTCCAAAATCAGAGGTGGAGTCTGCTGGATATTTAAACAACACTCTGGTGGATTTCGACACAAGTTGAAGAACTGCGTTTGTTTGCTCTGTAAAGGGGAAATGACCTGGATAAGTTTTGAGCAGAATGCAAACTGATCAAAACAACTTGCTTGATTGAACTACTTTCATCTGGATCCAAGAGAGGAAAACAGTTATTGGTAAGAGACATTATTTGGACACTAAAATGTATGTGATTAATGCAGGTTATGCTTTATCCCAACTTAGATGCAAGGTCAAATGTAGGAATATAATGTAAAATAATGACATTTTTTTGAAAGATGCTTTTGCTGAATAACATTTATAAAACGTAGCTCTGATCTTTTACTTAAGTAAAAGTAGAAGTAGTAAACAACCAAAATGCTCCGTTATAAGTAAAAGCACTGCATTCAAAATAATATTTAGGTTAAAGTAATAGCATCAAAATAGACCAAATATAAAAGTACTCCTTATTCAGAATTGTCCATCACAAGAATAATGTTTCTTGTATTATTGGATTATAAAACATATTTTTAATTATGCATTTATTACTAATGTTGTTGCTATTAGCCTACAGGTCAATTCAGAGTCAATTGACTTTAAATGTTGCCAGGTTGCTTAATTTCTAATAATGCATCATATGTTATGACTTTATTGTAAGTTATATTGTATTCATCTGAATCTGAAGAGAAAGTTACCAGTAACTCAAACTTTCACATTAATGTCGCGCAGTAGGATTTGGCCTAACTTTTGATTTCCCTCTACATAGCATAAAATGAAGAACAGACTATTTATTTCATGGGGGTGAGCGGCAGTGGAATGTAGTTTTACTGTCAATTTGATGACAGACAGGGTTACGATCATTCTTAACTTTTTAGCAATAGTGTTTTACAATTCAAACCCCATGCTCTATGAACAAAAACGGCAAATTACGACTTTCTTTTCTCTTTAATACATTTTGACACCCCCCTGGTCAGGAACTCAATGCTCTGGACTATTGCTCAACATTACCCGTCACCATCCCTCCCGTTGTATCTATTAGCCTTAGCTTTGTAAATAATCAACATGGGATTAAACGGACTCTAATTTATATCTTCCACATGGCAGGGCTGTGGAAGAACAATTCATCTGCATGTTACATGAGTGGAATAAGCCCCCGTGCTTGGCTTCATCAGAACAGGTCAGACTAAATAGTCAGAAAAACAACATGTTAGCTTACTTAGCACGTTTGTCAGTTTCAATGAAACTTTGTCAAACTTAGTTTATCTGTGCCCGTGTAGGGAAGAAGTTCAAAGTATTCAGAGAAAACTTAAATGTGCATTTAAATGTCAATAGTGAATGCTTTAAATCTCGCTCTTACCAACATTTAACTTTTTGCCACAACTGTTCCGAATAAAAATGATTCATGTTAAGTCATCAAACAGCAGAGTGAACTGCGATCAATCACTTGGTAATATCAGTAATAAGATGTTACCTATAATTTATCTTCATCATAAATGTAGTGTATTTGTTGTAACTTTATTCTAACATTATGTATTAACTTATCAAATAATTTTGCTTTTGCTTTTAATTCTTCTTCTGAAACTCTTATAAATATAACTTAAAAATCACTCTGACCATTTCCTATTTTCATTTATAAGTTATCATTATAAAAGTGTTCAATCCCCTTAACCACAGTATTATATATTTTAAATTTGTGGATGTAATTGTTCTCTGAATTTAACAAAACTGCTTTATTTGTATTCTCAAGAGAAAGAGGACAGAAGACGGACAGTGACCATGGAGGCTGTATCTCCCCCTCTCTTCACCACAGCTGGCCAGATGCCTTGGTTTCTTCTGACTTTGTTAACATCGTGGACAGTCTTGTGTTCAGCAGAATTAAAGCAGACAAGGTGGCCATTATATTCCCAGACGCCAGTTCTTCTAGCTTGGAATGCCCCAACACAGGAGTGTGGCCCGTGGCATGGCGTAACTTTATCTCTGGACCAGTTTGACATTGTGGCATCCCCCAATGAGGGCTTTGTCCGACAGAACCTCACAATTTTCTATAAGGAACGCCTTGGGTTGTATCCCTATTATGAGCGTAGTGGCACTGCACTGAATGGAGGCCTTCCACAGCTTGCCAGCCTCACTCAGCACTTTGAAAAAATGCCTGAAGGTTTGCAGAAATATATACGTGACCCAGTAGCGAAAGGTTTAGCTGTGATTGACTGGGAGGAGTGGCGCCCATTGTGGATTCGAAATTGGGATATTAAAGATATCTATCGGAGTAAATCTCGTGAAATGGTGGCCCAAAAGAACCCAAAGTGGACTCCAGAACAAGTGGGAAAAGTTGCACAGCAGGAATTTGAGCTGTCAGCTCGCAAATTTATGCTTGAGACTCTGAAACTTGCCAAGAGTTTGAGGCCAAATCAGCTGTGGGGCTTCTACCTGTTTCCAGATTGCTACAACCATGACTACAGGAATGGCCTGAAGAACTACACAGGACGCTGTCCAGTTGTGGAAATGGGCCGCAATGATCAACTTAACTGGTTGTGGATGGACTGTACAGCATTCTTCCCGTCTATATACATGGGCTCCGTTCTTGCCTCTACAAATTATGGGCGCCTCTTTGTCCGGAACAGGGTGAAGGAGGCCATGCGACTAGCATCGGTTGGGGATGGATTAGCACGGCCAGTTTTCGTTTATACCCGCCCTTCTTACATGAATCAGATGACCCTTCTATCTCAAGTAAGTTGGCTGGAGCAAAAGTTAATCAAGTACAGGAGGCTTATACATTTATTATGTTATCTAGAAGTTCAGTTATTATATTTAACCTTACATCAGAGGATGCAGTTGCCACACATTGCTGGAGATACACAAGATAACAACATTAGGTATTGTTTTAGTTTTGGGGTTCCGCTAACACCACAGGAATGTATGATGGTTAGATCAAATACCGATAACACTTTGTTAAAAGTGTATTAGCTAAGCGACCATTTAAATTATTTAATTTACTCAAACGTACCTGTGTGATAATATCAACATCATTGTACTGTACACCACTGAACTGTTTATGTAAATGTTGTGTAGACAGATTTGGTCTCCACCATTGGAGAGAGTATTGCTCTCGGGGCTGCAGGTCTGATCTTCTGGGGGGACACCTCCTATGCAAGCAGCAGCGTAAGTGTCACTCCCTCTTTGCTTATGTGCTGAATAGTGTAGGTTTGGCGTTAACATAATGTTTGTTTTTTCTGCCTGCAGGCCAGCTGCACCATCCTAAATGATTATCTCCAGGGACAGCTGGGCCGGTACCTCCTCAACGTGACTACAGCTGCTGAACAGTGCAGTCAGGTGCTCTGTAAGTCCCATGGCCGCTGTCTGCGCAAAATATCAGACAATGACGTGTACCTGCATCTCAGCCACTTAACTCACAGCATCACGAGTCAGGGTGGCCAGCTGAAGGTTACAGGCGTGCCTGGCCCAGCTGAGCTGGATTTTTTCCACACACACTTCCAGTGCCAATGCTACGGTGGGTACAGGGGTGAGGCCTGTGCTGAGAAAGAGGGGCAGAATAGAGCTTCCTCTGTCTTAGGGACCTGGCCTCTTTGCCTTTTACTCCCACTAGGACTCCTCACTTTACTACACTGAGGAAGCTGAGAAACGCAAACTATTCACTGCTTCTGCCAGCTCTGAAGAGCACAGGTCAGACCTTCAACATGAAGTTGCTAAGTTATAGTTATGCACTATAGAAACTGATACATTTACAACAGCCGACACTCCCTCCTGTCATCAGAGGTGATCCCAGTATGACAGGAGATTTTTATCCCAGCACACAGACCCATCAAACTGGAACATTTGTGTTTGACAAGCTGCACTGGCAGAGCTCCGACTTTAGGACCTCCTCCTGAAACTTATTTTCATTCATACATTTTAAAACTGTTCAACTCTTAAACTTATATCAAATGATGTCAAAAATCTGACATATCTCTTAAAGGCCTCTTTCATGCTTCAGATTAGAAGATACTCTATACCAGGGGTGTCAAACTCAATTTCATCGCGGGCCACATCAGCATTATGGTTACACTCAAAGGGCTGGTTGTAACTATATAAATATACAGTACCAGTCAAAAGTTTGGACACACCTTCTCATTCGAAGGTTTTTATTTATTTAAATAATTTTCTGCATTGTAGATTAATACTAAAGACATCAAAACTATGAAAGAACACATAGGGAATTATCTAGTAAACAAAAAAGTGATAAACAATCCAGAATATGATTTATATTTTAGATTCTTCAAATGAGCCCCCTTTTGCCTTGATGACAGCTTTGCACACTCTTGGCTTCTCTATATAAATATACATATATAAATATATATTAAATAATGTATATATTACATTATTGGCTCTGCATTGGATTATCATCAGTTCTGGTAATAACTTCATAAATAACTACGTCTGAAAGCAGAAGTCTAGGGCAAATAATTGAAAGCAAATATTCAGCAATTGCACCAATTGTATTGTATATTATATTCTCTGCAAGCTCTTGCGGGGCCACATAAAATGAGGTCACGGGCCGGATTTGGCCCACGGGCCTTGAGTTTGACACCCCTGCTCTATACCATTGTTGCACACATGGATTTGTGGAAGTCTTTCCACAGAGGAAAAAATGCCTTCTTAATTAATTTTTACAGTTTTTGAGTTTTGTTTTATGATCAACACAACAATAGAACAACATGAAGTATTAACAAAAATCTTGATGCACACCTTAAACATTGTTGTTTCTTTCTGTTGTGGAAGCCTTATGAATGAAATGTAAACAGTTTAAATCTGTGCCTTTACCATGCTATGAAGTGCGCTTTTTAATGGTCGCCTTTGTTTAGAAGTTTTGACTTTTAACAACAGTGTTTATCTCAGCCCTATGCTGAGCCCTGTGCTTTATAATGATATGATTTACATATTCCCATTAGTTTTCATTTTAATATACAAGTGGAAAGTTTGGACAGATCTGTACTAATGAGATAAGAAAAGCTACATTTTATTTTATTGCCAAAGGTGTCTTGTAATTGACATGGAAATCAATTTGAAAACAACTTATTGATTTACATGTTAAGAAAAACATTTCAGCATTTATTCACGCAGTATGTAATGATGTAATGAAAAATAATTGATACAAATCTAACCTGGTTAGTCAACTTTGGCCAGAATTCTTTAATATGTAAGGGAACCTTAATGTTTATGTGAAAAAATAATTATAAATGTTGCTCTCAAATATAAAAATAACCCTCAGAAATCCAGTATTGTTCTGGCCCTAAACACAATTAACAGTTTTGATTTAGGGTGTAGTTTGAGTTGCACAGCAGCTTGTGAATGGGAGATAGCAACCATGTAGGTACATCATCATATTAGTTTATTGCCATCTACATATCTTTTCTAGACTATAGCTGGCTGAACAGTTTCATATTCATACAGTCGGCTCTGTATTTATTCTCTCTGATAACGCTCAAAAAGTAGTTTAGCTACCTAACATTTGTTAGAATACAAGGTACGTTTTGACTGTTTTTCATATACCAAATACTATTGAAGTAAAATGTTTCAAGTATGCTGAAAGAATTGTAATACTGCACTTTAACTTCTTTTTGTTGCAATTTATTATCTAACTCAAGTACGTTTCCTGTCTCAGTGAAAATCAGTGGTTGTCTGAAGCATACAACTATCAAAAGTCTAAAACAATGAATCTGTAATATATAATTTATGGAATTGTAAACCTTTACTTTTGTACTACCCAACCTCGCTGTTTTGGAAGCAGCTTCAGTGTTAATTTACAAGCCTTATTTTGCCAAAAATGTATTGATGTTGTTTTTTAAAACCAAATCTGAAAGAAAACTGTTTTGTTTTTGAAAACATTTCATATTCAGTTTTTCTACAAGATAATTTAATTATGTAAACAGTCATCTGAATGTATTTTTATGTATTTCTTTTTTTATGAAGCCTGTAGTCTACTGGAATTAAACACATTTAACAACACATTGTATTACTAGGTGCAAAAAAACATGGAAATAAAGTAATGTACTGTATCTGTGTGTATTTAATGTACATGTTTTTGTACTTAAAGCACACAAAGGATATTAATCTAACTTATTTTGAGTGAACTGCATACAAAATACTTTTTCACAGATGTACGTAGCTTCAGCAGGAAGTGACACTGTGGGGTTTAGTGTTGTTGTGTGCAGCTCTTTAAGGTCTCCGACGAAGAACAAACGAATTAAAACGTTTGTGTGTAATCGACATTCATCAACATTGATATGCATTTCACTACTTTTTCGTGTGAGCGTTTCTATCCAGTTTTTACCTGATGATTGATCGGACATTTTCGTCGAAAGCTCTGGTGGCGTCGTGTCAGTAAGCTCATTTTTTCCTCACACTTTTGAAAGCTAGCTCCAGCCAGCGTCGACCTGAAGCCTCACTGTCTGCAACATCCCATCACCGGCAAGCAGCAATGCAGAAGACATGACGATAAAAAAGCAGGCAGACCTGTCTACCTGTCAGTGAAGGTGTCTGAGAATAATCTCCTCTGTGTTGGTATGTTTTCCTCTGGTGCGGCATCCTTAAAGTCTCCTAAACCGACCTACTTCAGAGGTTGAGCTTGTAGAAGAGCTAATGTTAGCTTATTTGCATATTTTGGCTAATTTTATTATACAGCGAACCTACCTTAGATTTCTCGTTTTTCATCCAGGAGGTTTAACTTTCACTCAATTATTTACATGTATTGGGTTTTTCTCGATTAACTTGACAAAGTGACAAAGTTAATCTAAGTTAACTGTTGAAATATTTACATTATTGACTTAATAATCCTTTAACTTTTTAAGTGCACTGTTTCAGACAATGTGAGCTGGAATTATTGCAAGTTTATGCTTGGATTTAGCTGTTGTGTGAACATTTGAAGAATTCCCTTTTTAGAACTGCTGAAGTAAAGAAACTACGGTTTTTTTTGTTTTTGTTTTTAAAGGGATTTTATAGTATATTTATACTTTAAACAAATATATTTAGAATGAACAACAATGGTCCTGATGGAAGTGGGGTGGCAATTTCTATATACACTGTCAGACAATTCAAAATACTGTATGATCAGAATCCACATGACGGGTTCTTACTTTACACAATGCACTATCTACCTATTTTCCTAGATCGTTCAACCTAACAGAATGAATTTCTTGCGTAATCGTCTTGTTATCCTGGGCCTGGTGTTGTTGGCCACGTTACTGCTGTACCTGCTGCTGCCATCCATCCGACAGGGCAGCATGGAGCCGTCCCTAGACGCTCAAAGAATGGGGCTAATGGCCACCCCTCCTCCTCAAATTCCAACCATCAATGTGACTATTCGCACTGGACAGCTACCTGGGGACCCTCCACTGTTCTTCAGAGAAGCTTTACCTGTTGATGGAGCTGGACGACAGATATTGCCAAGGTAAGTCGACAAGTGGAGAGAATATCTAGAACATCTAAGCCAATAACCTGCCTTGTAATCATAACCTGAGGTGAAAAAAAGACAGACTGTGAGGATGATATTAAAGATAGATTAAACACAGAAAGTGTTTGGTGATCGTCTTTGATAAAATCCTGATAAACTATTTTCTTTCTCTGTGCAGGCTGCAAGTGGTCCTTCTGCATGGCCAAGCCTTCACATCCAAAACCTGGGAAGAACTTGGTACAATGGCCCTGCTGGCAACTAATGGATATCAAGCCTTAGCAATGGATCTTCCAGGTAGAACTTAAGCCTTGTTGAACATAATCAGCACTTTCTACAAAGTATAGTGATACTTGAAAATGATTAAGTCTAAAAGTGACAGATGAGAAGATTGACACAGTCATTCTGAACACACCAGGTCACTGTTGGTAATTTATATAATATATATATATATATATATATATATATATATTGAATATTTTATATATATATATATATATATATATATATATTGAATATTTTATATGTTGACCTAGTTTTGGTTTCATTAACTAATATTGTAGAAAAAAATCAGAAACAGTTTTTGACTGCCTGATCTGAATGACGTAGTTTTTTATTTGAGTTCTGAGCAGGATACATAGGATGTTTCCCATCGCTGATATGAACAAATATTATTAATGATATATTCTTAGATCTGGCAATATATTTAAATGTGTATTGTTATGCTTATGCTGGTTTGCATTTTTCAGACATTTGATTTAGTTTCTGCGTTTCCTTGTGTGCTATGCTGTCGGTACACGTGGCATTTTCTTTTAGGCTTATATTTTGTTTGGGATAGGCAGCAGAAATCATAAAGTTAGATGTCCTCAAGGAATTCCCATCGCAGCACCAAACCACAGATTCTCTGAACAGAGGTCTAATCAAACATAATAACTCAAAACACCTTTGTTTGCAGGGCTTTTCATTGAAATTCATAATGTAAAACTATAAATCTAAAGGAAAAGTATTGAAACAAAATGAAAAAAGTCAGTGGGTGTGCACACATTGAAATTATGTTCAGATTATGTTTCACAAACTGCTGTTCTTATTGAAGGATATGGAAAATCGCCGGACTCGGAGGGTTTGAAGACTGATCAAAATCGAGTGGACCTACTTTCAAGGTTCATGGAGTCTTTGGGTGTCAGGACAGCGGTGCTCGTGAGCCCCTCCATGAGCGGACATTACTCCATCCCCTTCCTCATGAAGAACACCGCTCAGCTGCAAGGCTTTATTCCCATAGCACCAGTCGGTACCCGAAGTTACACTCCACAGCAGTACCAAAATATTCAGGTGAGGGAAGAAGGGATTGTTTGTATAAATATATTCCAAAATAAATATATGTACATTATCAAAAAACAATTTGGCGGACCCATTGATACAACCTATTCACTAGGGGGCCTTGTGTATGTAACATGTCTCTTCCCCTTTATACAGACTCTATTGTGTCTTCTAATACCCAATGTTAATCTGGTTTATATGATTTAGTGACCTCTAGCTGTGATGTTGCAGATTGCAAACAGCTGCTTAAACAGCTTTGATACTACAATTGGTCATTCCATGTATGTCAATTATAGAAATAATGCTCTTTCTATTTCCAAAGGGAAATGTTACTTTGCTTCCTTTTTCCAACTAACAAAGATTTTGAATTTACTATGTAACTTAAGGCAAGTAGAAAGCATCACATGTTTATGCAATTGCTATACAATACAACCTGGTACAGGTGATTTACCACCCACAGGTATTTCAGAGGACTTGTGGTGTGTGAATGTGTGAACATATTTTTTACCCTTTATAGCCTTAAAGTTTTCCCACTCCTGTGTTCTTTTCTATTTAGATTCCCACTCTAATTGTGTTTGGAGCCCTGGACACAAATCTGGGTGCCCAGTCCCACAAAAACCTCATACAACTTCCACACCATTCCGTGCTGAAGCTAGAAGGAGCTCGCCATGCATGCTACATGGACAAAACCAGAGAATTTCACCAAGGGTTGATGGACTTCCTCGGCAAACTAAAGTGAGATTTCTTGGGGAGGCAGATGAGTTACAAAGATGGAAGCAAAGATGGAGGAAATAGTCATGAACTCTAAATCTACATTATTCTCATATTATCTTCACCTTAAGCAAAGACCATTGGCATGGAAGTTGGTTTGAATACATGTCAAAACAGCATGTAAGACCTCATTTAACATTATAGTATTTCAGATGTTTCCATTATAGAAGTATCTTTTTCAATGTTCCATCGTGTCACCTAAAATACTAGTTCAGCTCAGCTTGTTGTAAAAAAATAGCTTAAGTTATGTATTGTGGTGATTTTTGTTTCCTGTCTCTCTTTGCATGTAAAACATGTTATATGTTGGCTTCACTGTTACCATTTTTGTAGATGACATGTAGGTTGCTGTAAATATGCAAATGTTGCAGGTGTCTGTGTTTTAAATAGCTTCTGTTAGCCTCACATTTGAAGGATTCATATATTAAGATCTGGTAACCATTCAAGAAAACATGTTTAGCAAGACAAACAGAGTTGATACACACTGTTATAATTAAAAAGAAGAAACCATATACAATAACATTTATTTATATGATGATGATGGTCATATCTAAAATATTTGCAATACGTTGGACAATCATGCAAAAAAACAAACTTAAAATGAGATGTGTTTGACTTTAATAAAACAGAAAATGTGTGTTTTGTATGTTTCAGTTGATAAAATGCCATGATTTGGAAACGAGGTAATTTCTGATGGTGTGTCTTCACACGAAATGTTCTGCCAATATAGCTGTACATGTGAAGAAACAACTAAAACTAACAATATTAAAGAAACATTACGATACCAAAAGTGGCACAACAGTGGTTGGATAAGATTAATTCCGAATTCCTTTTTGCATTTTAATTTTGTTTATGGTTTCATCCAGCACTAAAGGTAGATCGCCCTTTTATATGTTCCAGTTGGTCTCCATTGAAACAGTTTGTCCATTATTTAATAACACACATCTGTACAAAAATATACTCAAATAAACCAATCAAAAGAACAATTTTTGTATTGCCATGTTGACATTTGTGTATAAAGTTTAAGCAGACCGGTTACATCTACTCTAATCCTTAACTTAAAGTGGACCTATCATGCTATATTTAAATGATATATTGTAGGGCCATACCTATATAAGGTATATGTATACGTTTCTGTTTTCAAAATACCAAACAGATCATGCATTTTAGCCATGCCTCATTTCGCTCTATGTGCTGTTTGCTGTCTACGGGGCTGATCTCTGTGAGCTGCAGCTGACCACGCCCCCCTGCAGGAGAGGGGAAGCCGTGCTCTGATCAAGTCAAGAGGGGGAGAAAAGAATATCTCCGTCCTCCGTGTTTTATTATATAGAGTCGTTATTCATTTGTTTTAAAGCTCAATAAATAACAAAGAAGACCTTTGACCGGCACTTTTCTAATTTTGTCTGGAAGATTTAAACTTTAACGGACATCTTGACCGGCGAAACAAACTGAAACTGAAACTCTGCCGCACGGTCCCCTCGTTCCTTGGAAGAGGCGGAGAGGTGGGTGTTTGTCATCTGCTGGTGGACTAACCGGAGAGAATTACAATGCTTGCCTCGACGGGGAGGGATTGCATTGAATTAAAGCAGCGGGAGCAAACGCAAATGCACTTTTGTACGTCTTTTATACATGAATATGTGTCCCCGGTGTTCCAGGGAACTCACCAAGTGTCAGAAAACACAACCCTCTCTATTTTCCTCCATACCCAAATCTCTAAAAAAAGGGGCTGCAACGGATCTGATCAAAACTGATCCAGATTTGAACACTGTCCTGACGTCAGGACAGTGGCGCTACGGCTATTGGGCCAACTCCACCAATCAGGAGGAGACAGCCACGGCCATTGCCGTTCGAAAGCGCTCGAGACGCTCTAGTACATATGCCAGGCCTGTAGGTGGTGCTGTTCTCACAGAATCAGCCCTTGCAAAAACAGGGGTAAAAAAAGTGCAAATTGAGCGAAATGAGGCATGGCTAAAATGCATGATCTGTTTGGTATTTTGAAAAAAAAAAAGTATAAATATGCCTTTATGGTCCTACACTATATTATTATAATATAGCATGATAAGTCCACTTTAAGTAAAAGTACAAAAACTAGCAACAAGAATTTGCATCAAAATGTACTTAAAGTTCAAAAAGTAAAAGTACTTATTCTGCACAATTTCCCAATTGAAAATAATATAAAGTACAAAAGTATCATCAATGTTATCAGTGAAAGTACCTTTCACAGTATTATATTATCATTTTCCTGTTTTAAACACTTCAGTGTTATAGTTGGTCAATGTGAAGCACTTTAGATATGTGAAATATTGTTTATATTAGTAGTACAGTACTGCATTATGCCTATCAGCATATCATGTGTTATATTTACAAAGTTACTAGTAACTGTGGGTGTTAAATACATTTAGTTGGGTAAAAAGTACAACATTTGCCTCTGCAATGTAGAGGACTAGAATGATAAAGTAGTATTAAATGGAAATACTCAAGTACAAATGGGTCAAAATAGTACTTGAGTATAATACTTAACTTGAGTAAATGTATACGTGGTTAATTTCCACCACTGTGTACATTATTCAAGACAAATTGGGCAAATTATTTGAAGGATGTCTTTCCATGATTATTAGCTAATCAGTGCAAGAAGTATTCAGTCCTCAGAAGGGACTTCTTTCCTGCGACAGGACCTTTATTTTGAAAGGCAGGAAGAGTACCGGCCAGGAGCCTGAAACTGTGAAGCTGCGGTTGACCAGCAAATTGACTGCACTGGGTGAGTACTGTGATAACTCTAGCTAAACATAATTAAATAAATTGTTTGCAGTCATGTAATCCTTGTTACCAGTAACCAGGTAAGGTAATAACATAACGGTAAAGCCCCGGCATGGCTTGTTCTACAACCAACGGAGTGAATAACAAGCACACTAGCTACAAGGCTAGCTAGCGGCTTTAGCTTACAAAGTGTCATCGTCGCAGCTTAAATAAGGTAAAGACAGCTTGCGTCAGTGTGTCAGGTTGATGGCCCGCGAGACAGCAGAGATAACTGGGTTTACAACACGAAGAAAGTAATTGTTCTTCTCAGTCCCGTCATTGCTTAATATTCTATTGTGATGTGGCATTGTGTGTTTGATTTTCAATGGAATTACACCTGTCTGTCCTCAGAGAATACATCGCACCATGCTGCCTGACAAAGATGGTCCAGGTGTTGGAGGCAGACAGAGCTCTCCTGAGGGAGAGGATCTGTCTGTGAGTCTGTTCAGAGAGTACCTCCGCCTCAAAACTGTCCACCCAGACCCTGACTATGGTGAGATACCTTCATCACAACACACTGATCCAGCCATGCGCTTTGGAAATGTCGCAGATTGTCTTGCATTTACTTAGCTTGATGGGGTTTGAGTCCTTTTCCTATTAACACTATCCTTTGTCTTATTTTACTTATGTCATGAGCTTATATTAAGCTTAGTAAGCTTTAATATTATCATTCACACTTCATATCACTTAGAATTGTAAATATATATATATATATATATATATATATATATATATATATATATATATATATATATATATATATATATATATATATATATATATATATATATTTAGTCAAGTAAATCTTATAAGTCCAGTGTGTGAAATATTTTCCTGTATAACTTGTTCCATCTAATGTTCTGTGATTTTATCAAAGTCCATTTCTTATCGCCGTCAGTTAGACATTAAATGCTTATGCCAGTTATGTATAAACCTAGTATACTGTCTTAAAAGAAAAGAAAGCTGAGCTGATAGCAAGGCTCTCACTCCTGACCAAAAATCTTGCAGTGGCAGCTCAGATTTAACAAAACAAAATGATTGAGACTAACAATAATTAAGCTGCATCCCAAAATACTATTTATTTACATTTATGTTTGTGTTTTGTTTTTATTTCGTTTTTCAGTTTGACTATATTACACGTTCAAGAAAATCCACTGTTAAAAGGAATATAGGAGCTGCTGAAATAATGTCTATCTCATTGTTCGGAGAGGTTTTACACATTTATTTAAACTAATTCTTATTTCTATTGTTTATTAATTTATAGATGCTGCTCTTCGTTTTCTGGACAGAATAGCTGAGGAGCTTGATCTACCCATGAGAAAGATTGAGGTGTGTGTCCATGATAGATAAATAAATAAATGAATGCAGCAGACATTAGTATACGTACTTTACAGAAACAAGTAATACTTTCTCTGAAATGAAACGAGGCCTTTTCTGCCGTTCCCTCTCCCTGAAGGTCTGTCCAGGCAGAGTAGTGGCGATCATGACTTGGGAAGGGAAGAACCCAACGTTGAAGTCCGTCTTACTGAATTCCCACACTGATGTTGTACCGGTTTACCAGGTATGGCGTCTTTCTAAGTTTATGGCGTTACAATCCTGTTTTTATCGTTAATAGACATACAAAAATAGATTTGATATCAATTTCTTCTCCAGGAACATTGGAAATACGATGCTTTCAGTGCTTTCAAAGATGCAGAGGGCAACATTTATGCCCGGGGAACACAGGACATGAAATGTGTAACTATACAGTGGGTATAAAACTGCCTTTTAATAACTTGTTTTATCAAACAGGATTTGTACTCTAGTATTGTTGTGATCTTCACTTTTAATTGTGTTCAATGAGAAATACCCACTCACCCACCCTGCATACTGTAAGTGCAGACTCCATTTCTTATTTCTGTCATAACTCGGCCCTTTTTTTTTTTTTCTTACATCCAGGTACATCCAGGCAGTCAGAAGACTGAAGGCAGAGGGACGGAAACTGATGCGCACTGTGCACCTGATGTTTGTTCCTGGTAAAATATTTGATTGCTTCCCTACGTTCTAGTATAGTTTGTTGCCAAAGGGTCTAAACACCCTGGGTCCACCCACACAGGGGTTCTCTCTAATGTTGCAAGTCTGTGGGTGTTTCATTGAAACTCTTTAGGGAGTGTTCCAGTGTGCGTCAGAAATTGACGTTTTTTTTAACTTAAAATAACAAGGCTATACTGACAATAGTGAATAAGTTATACAATCTCAGGGTTTACAAAAATGATATATCATTTATTAACATATAACTATTAACCAAAAGTATTCTATCAGTTATTATAAAACACTTTATTAGAAACAGTTGGAAAAGTACTTCGGAGCAATTGATCCTAAAAATCAGCCATTGAAGGAGCCTTTCCTGACTTTTGAGAAACACCCGACACTTGATTGACACTTTCCTCACTCTCCTGGTAGCTTTTTTCAACCTGTGTAGGGCGGCATATGATTCCGTTCAAACAACTTCTTCATTTCCACTAAGAGTACAGCAATTGTTTCATTGGCTGGCTAAGCACATCCATTCAGTCTGTTGTTTGGGATGGAAGTGATCGTAGATGTTGCAAATGTGTGTAGGATGGAAATGAAATGTGACTGTACCTCTAGGCTGGGACAAATTAGACCTTTCTGTGGATGTGCTGTGCTCAATTTTGTTGCTGGGATGTGGCCCTTGTTACAGAGTGGCTTAATGAAATATGAATGCCATGTTATGCATGTTAAATCTATACTGTATTTCACAGTCTTTATTGCTCATGAGACTGAACTGGTATGTTATTCATAACATACTAGTTCTTGTTTAGCAGAAATCAAACCACATCCCTTGCCAAGAATGAGCATTTACGCAAACACACATTTGACATTAACAACTAAAAAACATGTTTCTCTTTTCTTAGATGAAGAAGTTGGAGGTCACAAGGGAATGGAATCATTTGTGAAGAATCCGGAGTTCCAAAAATTGAACATCGGCTTTGCCCTAGATGAAGGTAAATAAATAACAGTCTGGTTCTTCTTCTGAAAAGTTAATGAGTGATAATCTAAACACAGAAGGTCTCTCTTTAAGTTAGTCAATAAGTCAAAACCAAGTTCAGTCTGGTTTCTACTTTTGCCCTAGAAGAGAGAATAGCAAAAGAGGTAGAGGGAGACGAAACAAAGGTCCCCAGCTGGATTGAACTACGAACGTTAGAGGCCTTGGTCAGCATTGTTTTCTTTATTTTTAGATTTTTCCACACACTCTCAACAAACAACATTATCAAGCATTTTTAAGTCTGAAAGGAGTAGGACAAATGGAATGTACTCCAACTCCTGGGTAGCCACATAATGTATTTTTTCCAAAAATATATAATAATATGACAATGCCTATATTTCCTTTTGAGAAGTCATTTTGATGTTTGTCCAAATAAATTATAATAAGAACTAATTGTACGGTTAATCTTTCAGTCAGATGTATTTGACACAATGACTTTTAAGTATGTAAGAAATCATTAAACATAGTTGTTTATTTGTATGGCTATTGTTAGTTAGAAATGATCCTGCCTGCATAGTGGGGTTTGATACAGAGCCAGAGTCTGACAACCAAATATTTAGAATGTTACCAACTGTGCCAAGTGACCCTTATTGATCCTGAGGTGCTGTGATCAATCTCTGCTGCCTGTTGAGGTTTATAACCCCTCCTGTGGTGAAAATGACTTCTGTCCTTTTATTGTTATATGAATGCACAAGACTAATGTTAAATATTAAACATTTTTTTATTTGTCTGCATGTTTTCTGTAGGTCTTGCGAACCCTGGTGAGGCCTTCACTGTGTTTTACGGAGAGAGGAACCCTTGGTGTGAGTATAAAATACAGTAATAGACTCACCTTATCAGATTTCCAGGGTTTTTGAAGGATGATGAAGCCGATCTTAAATCAAACAGAATGACTTCTTCTTCACAGGGATTACAATCCACTGCCCAGGCAGTCCAGGTCATGGGTCGAGGTTTGTGGAGAACACGGCTGCTGAGAAGCTGGTAACTGTCAAATCCATTAAAACATTTAATAAAACACCTCAAAACCCGTTGTTTACAAGGTTTCATTGACAGAACTTCTTTATCATTCTCAGCGCCATGTCATGAACTCCTTCCTGGACTTCAGAGAGAAGGAGAAACAAAGGTGAGATTGAACTGTTTGCCTCTTGATTTGTTTTGCATGATCTTTAGAGCAATTGTATTAAAGAGGAAATATTAGGTTCATCTATTGTATTTTGTGCTTCTAATGTGAGTGACATGATGACATGTTTTAATGTTCAAAAACGGCTTTATTTTTCTCATACTGCCAGTGCAGCAGCAGCCCTTTCACCCTCTTTAACGAGAGCCCAGTTTATAGTTGACGTAGGCCTTTCAGGGAAACTGCCCTGGAAACTATGAATTTAACACAAATAACTAAACGGCAACTAAAATACCAGTTTTAAAAAATTGCCTCCATATTCTCTATAATTACAACCGTATTACATAATTCTCTTTAGGCAGTTTTCAAGGAAATATTTATAAAATCATGGGTGTGTAAAGAAATGACATGCAATTTCATGAATATGGCTTCTGGACATTTAAAAGAAAAGCTTATCAGCCATCACGTGTTGTATTTGTGTCCCAGAAACAAATAAATATGGGTAAGAACAGTGGCTAATTTGTTCTGTGGAACAAAGCCTAATGGATCTGATGTACATTTCTTTGATTAAAAGTACATTTTCAGTGATGGGCCTGAAAAGTTGCCATTCTACTTTAGATGTTATTACAGTGCAATTGCCCTAATGTCCTTACTTCTGTGTGTGTGTATTTTAGGCTAAATACAAGTGAGTGTTTCACCCTTGGTGATGTCACCACAGTGAATATGACCATGGTGAAAGGAGGCGTGGCCTACAATGTCATCCCAGCTGAAATGGACGTGAGCTTTGACCTTAGGATACCGCCAACAGTGAACCTACAGGTGTGTACATGTCTATGAGTTGGGATATGTGTCTGCAGATTAGGTTGTTTTTAACTATTTTACCCCCGTTTTTAAAGAGTAATGTTAAAACACACTTTTATTTTTTTAGCCGTCACCTGATGTCTCTGTATGTCTGTTGTCACTGTGCTGTGTGTGACCATGTGCCCTATCTAACTTATCACTTTTATTAAGTATTATTGTGATTTTATTGTTTCTTTCTGTTTCCTCTGAGTTTGCTGTAAGCACTTTGAATCATCATCATCATCATCATCATCATCATCATCAGCAGCAAGAGACTCTAGGTCCATTTTTAAAAGACATACAACACTCAAATATAAATTATCAACTGTGTATAGTGCTATGTAAATAAAGTTGATTTGATTTCTGTGTTACACATGTAGTCATGCAGACTTCTGACTTACAGGTGTTGGTGTGAAATGACCTCCAGCTCAATGACTGCTCTGAACTAACATCTGTATTATCATTATCCTACCAGGAGTTTGAGCGACAAATTAAGGAGTGGTGTAAAGAAGCAGGAGAAGACGTCACTTACGAATTTGCTCAGGTCAGTTCACTTAACACTCCATTATAAAAGTGCTGCTGGTTTATTCCTGTTGTTGTCAAGGAGATTAAAGTAGCTGCCATCTATTGCAGAAACACATGAACCAGAACATGACTTCTACAGAAGAGAATGATCCCTGGTGGAGTGCCTTCAGTGCAGCCTGCAAGGCAATGTGAGTACACTGCACACACTTATTCTTATCTTTATGTGGTTTTTACTTTTCCTTCGCACCATCGCAGGTGTTGGATGTTATGTCAAGAACTTACAAACATCATTTTCTACTGTCACTTTCCACTAGTAACGGAAGCTACTATATATTTTCTAAATGTTAACATTGATTGCAAATCCATCTACATTTACCATTGTAATTTTACTACAATTAAGAACTGTAGAATGACATTTTGCAGGCTTCTCTCAATGCAATTAAACATAAACACATACAAAAAGCACCAATAGAAGCAATTGGAAAATACAAAATAGCAGGCACGAATAAATTAAATTTAACAAAGGTACAAAATGTACAGGTATGCATGTTAATAAATAGATGTTGAAAAAAGAAAGATAAATCGTTGTTTGAATAGTTTGTGGTTGCAGTCTTTGAGAGGTGGTGTGTGTTTACAGTCTTTGGTGTGAAATTAGTTCAGATTTCCCCAAAATAAGAACTGTCATGTTTTTTGACTCATATTATTTGTGTATCCTCTATTTTTGCACAACACTTAATTTCACACCTTTTTACTGCACATTTTCTCACAGCTCCAACAATCCTCCTCAGTTGTTTAGACAGTACTGCATTGCCTGTCTACAGTCGCTTCTCTCTGTCTATTTTCTTTGTACTATTCATTCTGCTGGAAATGAATACAATATAGGTTCCTTTGATCATGTCTGTCTTACATAAGCTGTAATACTTTTAGGATATGTTTGGAAATATTTACCCTGATAATTTTAGGACTGTACTGAAGCTGTCCTTGTCTCATGAAAACTGTGTCAATGTCTCCACTGTAGGAACATAACTCTGGAAAAGGAGATATTTCCAGCTGCCACGGATAGCCGTTTCATCCGAGCGGTGAGTATAGAAACTGGATATGATGGAATTAATCATGACATTTGACATTGTTTGCAAAGCTTTTTCACTCCTTCAGTTCTGCGCCATTAATGGGTTTCTTTGTTGAACATAGGTGGGTATCCCTGCTATCGGCTTCTCCCCAATGAACCGGACTCCAATCCTGCTGCACGATCACAACGAGTTTCTGAATGAGAAAGTCTTCCTGAAAGGCATCGGCGTGTTCGAGAGGCTCATCTGCGCTCTTGCCAGTGTTCCTGCCTTCCCTGATGAGGCTTAGAGAAGTCTTAATTTTAATCCGGTCTAAAAACGTATTTCACTTAGGGTATTAATATTTAACTTGAAACTTGAACGTTTTTGAAGAGATTACCAAAGAATAATAACACGTATCATTTAGCCAAACTGAGCACTTAGCCTTTGGTACTTTTATTTTTTTATTTTGTGATTCTCAGGATAAAGGCACGATAAGGTTTGCATTTTACTTTTGACAACTTACTTGCCTGTGTGTACACAGTCTAAAAGATGTATCACCCATTGTGAAAGCAATGTTCTCATTTACTATGGAAAATGAACTAACTGAAATGTGAAGACGACTTTGATTGATTTACACTTTGATCAAATGTCAATTAATTGCCACTTTTCTCATTGAGCCTGATTTTAAAACTATTATTCCACAGATATAACTTTATTTAATAAACTGAAATTGAATAAATATATTTGTTCATTACTCTCATGCTTGTAGTTTCTTGTACAAATATTAGGGATCCGTATCTGATGCCACACTGACATGCACATTTATAATACTAATAAATAAGTACTGTAAATGCAGGCTTTGTTAAAGAGGAAGATTTGAAAAAGGCATTTTACCTTCAAACAACCACGTCCGTTTCAAGGACAGACAAAAACATTGACCATTCCTACATCAGAAAACATTTCTGAACATCATATAATGTCCAAAAAGCTGTCATGCAATCGGCTTCTCGAAGAATGATGGGAATATGTGCATGGCAGAGTGTGTCATGTAGACGGGCAGGTCGACTAAGTCCGCCCAATCATTTTATTTGAACAAAACAACTTGACCAACCTATTACAGTCCTTCAACAGCCACAGATACCATGGTTTTTGTTTTTTTGTCATTGATGTATTGATTTCTGTTGGGGTGTTAAGAGTATTTAATGGGAACTTTGCTTCTTTTGAATATGTGGCCCTTCAGCTGAAATGCTCCTCTTGAGCTCTGTTCCTAAATATCTATAGACCACCCAAATACTGTGCAAGCTTTTTTGATGACTTTACTGAACTCTATAGTGTGTATTGACTTTGACCGTCTATTCATTGTTGGTGATTTTAACATCCATGTTGACAACCCCCAGGACAGAGTGACTGAAGAACTGTTTTGTGTTCTTGATGATTATGGACTGACTCAGCATGTGACGGAGCCCACGCACAATAAGGGGCACAATCTGGACTTAATTATCTCAAAGGGTCTGAATATCTCTGAGGTTGTGGTGACTGATGTTGCACTCTCTGACCATTCCTGTGTTTTCTCTGAGAGCTCTATTTCTGTTCACAAAAATGTTCAAAAAGAGGTAACCACAAAGCGATATTTTACTGAAAATACTAGGGAAATGGTTCTTCCACACTTGCCCCTGCTAACATCTCAGTAAATGAGCTAGTAGATCATTTTAATTCAAAAATTAAAAAGGTTATAGATGCCATTGCTCCAACTAAGGTAAAGGAAGTGACTGGGAAGAAAATATCTCCATGGAGAAAGGCCATGACCGTGAAAACAGAAAAAAGAGTGTCGAAAAGCTGAACGCAGGTGGCGAAAAACAAATCTCCAGGTTCATTTTGAAATCTATAAAGAGAGACTTGGCCTTTATAATTTGGAATTGAAAAACGCACGACAGTCTTTCTTCTCTGACATCATTACCAAAAACAAAAACAACGCACGTGCCTTGTTTGCTACTGTCGACAAACTAACAAACCCCCCAGTGTCAGTAGCCTCTGCATTTCTATCCACCAGGGCCTGCAAGGCAAGGCAAGTTTATTTATATAGCACCTTTCAACACAAGGCAATTCAAAGTGCTTTACAAAAAATGAAAGACATTAAGAAAATGGCATTTAAAATCAGTCATTAAAAAGAAAAGATAATATAATAAACATTAAAAGAAAAAATACATGGATAAAAGTTACAGTGCAGTTTAAGATGTGAATAGTTCAATTAAAAGCGGCGACAAAAAGAAAAGTCTTCAGCCTGGATTTAAAAATAGTAAGAGTTGCAGCGGACCTGCAGGTTTCTGCGAGTTTGTTCCAGATATTTGGAGCATAATAACTAAACGCTGCTTCTCCATGTTTAGTTCTGACTCTGGGAACAGAAAGCTGACCAGTCCCTGAAGACCTGAGAGTCCTGGATGGTTCATAATTTAGCAGTACGTCAGAAATGTATTTTGGGCCTAAACCATTCAAAGCTTTATAAACCAGCAGCAGTATTTTGAAATCTATTCTTTGACACACAGGAAGCCAGTGTAAAGACTTCAGAACAGGAGTGATGTGATCCACTTTCTTAGTGTTAGTGAGGACTCGAGCAGCAGCGTTCTGAATCAGCTGAAGCTTTCTAATAGATCTTTTAGTGAGGCCTGTAAAGACACCATTGCAGTAGTCGAGTCTACTGAAGATAAAAGCATGGACAAGTTTTTCCAAATCCTGCTGTGACATTAGTCTTTTAATCCTAGTTATGTTCTTTAGGTGATAGTAGGCAGATTAAGTAACTGTTTTAATGTGACTGTTGAAACTCAGGTCAGAGTCCATGACTACACCTAGATTTCTGGCTTTATCTGTTGTTTTGAACATTGCAGACTGAAGCTCAGCGCTAACTTTTATACGTTCTGCCTTGGATCCAAAAACCATTACCTCAGTTTTATCTTTGTTTAATTGGAGAAAGTTCTGACACATCCAGTCATTGATTTGTTCAATGCACTTACTCAGTGTTTGAATTGGAGCATAGTCTCCTGGTGAAATTGTTACGTACATTTGTGTGTCATCCGCATAGCTATGGTAACTTATTTTGTTGTTCTTCATTATCTGAGCCAGTGGTAGCATGTAGACGTTAAAGAGAAGAGGCCCCAAGATGGAGCCTTGAGGTACCCCACATGTCATATTTGTCAACTCAGATGTGTATTTACCTATAGAAACAAAGTTGTTTCTGTCCTTTAAGTAGAATTCAAACCAATTTAGAACTGTTTCCGAAAGTCCCACCCAGTTTTCCAGTCGGTCTAGTAATATGTTGTGGTCAAGAGTGTCAAACGTAGCACTGAGATATAATAATACTAACACTGAAGTTCTGCCACTGTCTGTGTTTAAGTGGATGTCATTGAAGACCTTTACAAGAGCAGTCTCAGTGCTGTGGTTTGGACGAAAGCCTGACTGGAACACATCGAAACAGTTATTTAAATGCAATCAGTTACTCAACTGTTGAAAAACAACTTTTTCAATGATTTTACCTAGAAATGGCAGGTTTGATATGGGCCTGTAATTGTTCATTACTGAAGCATCTAGATTATTCTTTTTTAAGAGCGGTTTAATGACTGCAGTTTTCAGGGCCTGTGGAAAAATACCTGAGTGAAGAGATTTGTTTACTATATGAAGTAGATCTGAGGCCATGCAATGAAAAACATCTTTGAAAAATCCTGTTGGAATAATATCAAGGCAGCAGGAGGAGGATTTCAGAAGTTGAATAATGTCCTCTAGGTTTTTATCATTAATCTGATGGAATTGTGTCATGATGTCTGAATTGATATTAGGTGGACATAGGGACAACACATTTGCTGAACTTGATGCAGAGGCACTGACTGCTTGTCTGATTTTCTGAATTTTGTCAGTGAAGAAGGAGGCAAAATCATTGCACGCCCTGGTGGATAGAAATTCAGAGGCTACTGACACTGGGGGGTTTGTTAGTTTGTCGACAGTAGCAAACAAGGCACGTGCGTTGTTTTTGGTAATGATGTCAGAGAAGAAAGACTGTCGTGCGTTTTTCAATTCCAAATTATAAAGGCCAAGTCTCTCTTTATAGATTTCAAAGTGAACCTGGAGATTTGTTTTTCGCCACCTGCGTTCAGCTTTTCGACATTCTCTTTTTTCTGTTTTCACGGTCATGGCCTTTCTCCATGGAGATATTTTTTTGCCAGACACTTCCTTTACCTTTGTTGGAGCAATGGCATCTATAACATTTTTAATTTTTTAATTAAAATGATCTACTAGCTCATTTACTGAGATGTTAGCAGGGGCAAGTGTGGAAGAAAAATTCTGAGTAAACATTTCCCTAGTATTTTCAGTTAAATATCACTTTGTGGTTACCTCTTTTTTAACATTTTTGTGAACAGAAATAGAGCTCTCAAAGAAAACACAGGAATGGTCAGAGAGTGCAACATCAGTCACCACAACCTCAGAGATATTCAGACCCTTTGAGATAATTAAGTCCAGAGTGTGCCCCTTATTGTGCGTGGGCTCCGTCACATGCTGAGTCAGTCCATAGCTATCAAGAACACAAAACAGTTCTTTAGCCCCTCTGTCCTGGGGGTTGTCAACATGGATGTTAAAATCACCAACAATGACTAGACGGTCAAAGTCAATACACACTATAGACAGCAACTCGGTAAAATCATCAAAAAAGCTTGCACAGTATTTGGGTGGTCTATAGATATTTAGGAACAGAGCTCGAGAGGAGCATTTCAGCTGAAGGGCCACATATTCAAAAGAAGCAAAGTTCCCATAAGATGTCTTCCTGCATTGAAGGGAATCATTGAACAGAATAGCAACTCCACCTCCTTTCTTATGCATTCTTTCCTGACTCATAAAACTAAAGTTGGGAGGGGTTGATTCGATAAGAACAGCTGCACTGTTATTTTGTTCAATCCAAATTTCTGTTAAGAACATAAAATCGAGATTGTGCTCAGTGATAAAATCATTGATTAAAAATGTTTTTCCTGCCAAAGACCTGACATTTAATAAAGCTAGTTTAAGTTCGTTAAACACACTATCAGTCAGGTTTTTTGTAACAAGCTGTGGCTGACATGAAATCACTGCTAAATTTGATAAACTCACAAAAACGTTTGAGCGCTTCCTGTATCTAAGATGATTCACTGCTCTTAATCTATTACCTATCAACACAGATATCGGCAAAGCTACTGGCAGGAAGGGCCCCGGCATGTCCTTGGAAAAGTTGAGAGTGCCATACGCCCTTGAGCCTGGACCCAGCAAATACCAGTTTGCAGCGTTTTGTACACACACATCCCTATCAGGCTTTGAAGGGGAGGGAGCACCCACCACCCTGCTCCTCTCATCATAGGAGGGCAGGGTGAGGGCTACACTGTAGGAAGGGGGGTTTGGAAATCTGCTTCCATCTTCCTTGTATTGTTTTGGTTTGGATGATTGTGGTAGGCATGGTGATGAAGACGGGGGAGATGGTGCGCGTCTTGTCTTCAGTGATTTTGGTGGGCGTCGTTGAGGGGCGGGGGTAAAGGACATGCTGCCAACCCTGCGTATCGCCTTCATGCGGTCATCGAACTCCAGGGGGGAGAGCGAGGGTGAAAGGGTGAGCGGAGAGTAGAGAGAGCTGGGGGATGAATGAAGAGTATCCTCAAAGGCGTTGACAGGGGGGGTGACGGGCAGTGGAGACTCCTCCATTTGTGTCATAGGTCTCCCATAATCAGAACATTCCTCAGGCGGGTG